GCGACCGTCCAGCCCCATCCTCCGTCAGGCACTTTAGTATAAACGTTTGCAGAGGTGCACGGCATCTTTACAGCTTTGACCGTCATTTTGGATCTGGGAAAAGAGGGGACAGGCAGCCAGGCATCAGTTTAAGCTGAATTTTGCTGGAAGAGGCACAGCCTGGGAGCTGTAGCACCCCCAAGGCACCGTGAGCCAGACCCTGTGCTGCTGAGGAGTAAGTGTGGGAGTTGGGCTGGTGTTTGTGCCTCTGTCCCTCCGTGGGCTCCTTCCTGCTGCTGCCCTGTGAGCCCTGCACCAGAAACTCCCAGCTCAGCACCCGGGCGAGCTGTTCCCAGCAGCCAAGCCCGGGAGCTGGGAGCTGTCATCTGTCTGTCGGTGCATGGGGGCGGATGGATGCAGTTCGTGAAGGATCCACCGCGGAGCCCAGCGCTGGTGGAGCCGCACGAGCCCCCGGGGCACTGGCTGTCCCCAAAACGGCGGCTCAGGGCTGCCCACACCTCCAAACGGGGGTGGGGACACCCCCACTGCCACCAGCTCCCCTGCAGCCCCCTTGGCACTGCTGCCACCCCCGGGGCAGAGCGGGCTGGACGGGATCACCCCATAAGACACGGGGTGTCAGCCCTGCCCCGTGTCACCCTGTGGGGTGTGGGGGTGGCTTTGGTCCCACATGGAGCCCCCCACGGAACCCCAGCACTGCCACGACTGCACAGGTGGGACAGCAGCAGTGTCACAGTCGGGGGGAGGACACTGTGCTGGGGTCACCACCACAGCTGCACGGGGGGGACAGTGCCAGGGTTACAGTCCTGGGCTCACTGCCACACCTGCCGGGGGTCTGCTGTGCCGGGGTCAGCATGGCACCTGTGCAGGGGGACAGTGCCAGGTCACTGTCACACCTGCACGGGGGGAGCGCTGAGCCGAGGCCACTGCAGCACCACACCTCTGTGCAGGGGACAGTGCCGGGTCAGAAACATGCCTCTGCAGGGGGACAGTGCTGGGGTCACTGCCACACCTCTGTGCAGGGTGACAGTGCCGGGGTCACCGCCACACCTCTGGGGGGGGGACAGTGACAGGATCACCTGCACTAGCGGGGTCGGCTCTGGGCAGGGGACAGTGCCGGGGTCACGGCCACACCTGTGCAGGGGACAGTGCTGGGGTCACTGCCACACCTGTGCAGGGGACAGTGCCACACCTGTTTGGGGGTGCAGTGCCCGGGTCCCCCGAGGGACACCCGCGGGTTCAGCTCCCGCGGCCGCCCCGGCAGGGCAGCGAGCGGTGCCGCCCCGTCCCGCCCGGACCTGCGGCTCCCCCCGCCGCCGTCCCCGGCAGCCACCCGGCATTTCCCTCCTCCATTTTAGACTCGGCTCCTCGGCACGGCGCCCCGAGCCCCGGCCGCAGCGCACCGGGGAACTTCGCACGGCGGAGCAGGCGAGTGCGCGGCAGCGGGCGGCGAGCCCACGCCGGGGGTCCCCGAGCGGTTCGGGGGGTCCCCGGGCCCCGCAGCCCCTCCTGCGGTGCCGCATGGCTCCCGGGGGATCCGCTCCGCCGGGGATGGAGCGAGGCGTGGGCTCCTGCATCCCTGCGGCGCGGGCTCCGCTGCAGCCGGGCAGGGCGGGGGGCACGGGCGGGACCCCCGCCCGAACTTTGTGGGAAGTGCCCGGAGACCCCCCGAGAGAGGGGACGGGGCTGCCGCGAATTCCTGTGTCACGGCACGGGGAATGAGGGGGGAAAAGCAGATCGGGAGGAAGCACGCTTTAGGGAACAGAGCAAAAAAAAAAAAAAAAAAAAAGATAAGGGAAGGAAAAACAACCCAGCGAAACCGCAAACCTGGGCGTATGTTTTGTACATTTAAAGATTAAAAGAAATAATGGTGGCTGGGGAAAAAATTGAAAATGAAGGAGCCGGAGCGCAGGGGCCGGCGCGGCCCCCCCTCCCTGCATCACTTTCCCAACATTTCAGCCCTGATTCCTGCATCGCCGGGGCCGCGGGCTAAAAATACAGGGATGCGGGCGAGGGGAGGTGGGGACGGAAAACGCTGGAAAAACGGAAAAATAACGTTAAAAAGCGCCCCAAAACAGGGGAAAAAATTAAAAAAGGGAAACAAAGCCCTCCCCCACCCAGCTCCCGCGGAATCCCCGGGCGGGAGCCCCACTCACCCGGTGCTGCGGCGGGGTCAGGGGCTGCCCATGGCCCGGGAGGGCGAGCGGGCGACCCTCGGCGAGGAGCGGCCCCGCTGCCCGCCGGCCTCCGGCCGCTGCTGCTCCCGCTGCCCGCGGCGGCGGCTGCTGCTGCTCGGTGCTCGCTCGCAGCCCTTTTATACCGGCTGGAGCCGGTCTCCGCCGGCGGCTCCGCAGCGCCCATGTGCGCGGCGCCGGGCCCGGCTCGCCCAGCGGCGGCACCGCGTGTGCGGGAGGGGCGGTGCAGGGGCGGCCCCGGGCCCGCAGCCCCCGCGGCCCCCGGCCCGCACCTGCCCCGCACGGGGAGCTCCGGCAGGTGCCGGGCCGTCCTGCCAGAGCGGGGTCCGCAGCGTCCCCGGGTGCGGGTCTGGGGTATTCGGGGTCCGGAGTATTCCCAGGGTGCGGGGTCTGGGGTGCGGGATCTGGGGTGCGGGGTTTGGAGCATCCCCAGGATGCAGGGTCCGGAGTATTCCCGGCTGCGGGATCTGGGGCATTCCCGGGATGCGGGGTCCACAGCATCCTGGGGGTGTGGGGTCCGGGATGCGGAGTCCGGAGCATCCCTGAGTGCAGGGTCTGGAGCATCCCCGGGTGCGGGGTCTGGGGTATTCCCGGGGTCCGGAGCATCCCCGAGGTATGGGGTCCGGGATGCGGGGTCCGGAGCATCCCCCATTTCGGGTGGGATGCGGGGAGCACACACCGGAGCCCCCCACCCTGGTGCTGGTTCAGCGTGTTTGTCCCCCCCGAGGTTTCGGTGTTAGGGGAAATATGCCCCGTGTTTGTGTTTTTCAGGACGAAACATCTTGAATTTCTAGGGAAAACCCGGCCCGCACCTGCCCCGCACCGGGAGCTCCGGCAGGTGCCGGGCCGTCCTGCCAGAGCGGGGTCCGCAGCGTCCCCGGGTGCGGGTCTGGGGTATTCCCGGGGTGCGGGGTCCGGGGTCCGAAGCATCCCGGGGTGCGGGGTCCGGAACATCCCCGGGTGCGGGGTCCGGAACATCCCCGGGTGCGGGGTCTGGAGCATTCCCGGCTGCGGGATCTGGGATATTCCCGGGATGCGGGGTCCACAGCATCCTGGGGGTGTGGGGTCCGGGATGCGGAGTCCGGAGCATCCCTGAGTGCAGGGTCTGGAGCATCCCCGGGTGCGGGGTCCGGAGTATTCCCAGGGTGCGGGATCCGGGGTGCGGGATCCGGGGTGCGGGGTCTGGAGCATCCCCGGGTGCGGGGTCTGGGGTATTCCCGGGGTCCGGAGCATCCCCGAGGTATGGGGTCCGGGATGCGGGGTCCGGAGCATCCCCCATTTCGGGTGGGATGCGGGGAGCACACACCGGAGCCCCCCACCCTGGTGCTGGTTCAGCGTGTTTGTCCCCCCCGAGGTTTCGGTGTTAGGGGAAATATGCCCCGTGTTTGTGTTTTTCAGGGCAAAACATCTTGAATTTCTAGGGAAAAATGTCGCTCTTGGTTGTGTTTTCAGGGGAAGCCACTTGCTTTAGTTGTGTCTTTAGGGTAAACCTCCTTTCCTTTAGGGAAAATCTCATTTTGTTGCAATTTTAGGGGAAAACATCTCCCTTGGTTGCATTTTTAGGGCAAACATTTTCCTTGCTTGAATTTTTAGGGGGAATCATCTCTAGTGGTTGTATTTTTAGAGGAAAATATTTCTCTTAATTTCTTTTTTTTTTCTTCTTTTTAAGGGAAAAACCCATCCCTTAGTTGTATTTTTATGGAATACATTTCCTTTCGTTGCAATCCTAGAGAAAAACATCTTCCTCTGTTAAATTTTTAGGGGGAACTGTCTCTGTCAGTTGCATTTTTGGGGGAAACATCTCCCTTGGCTGTATTTTTTTGGGGGGAAATCATCTCCTTTAGCTGAACTTTTAGGGAAAACATGCCCTTTTGTTGCATTTTTGGGAAAAAATCTCATTTAGTTGCATTTTTTTAGGGAAAAACATGTCCCTTGGTTGAATTACAAGGGCAAAACATTTCCATTGGTTGCATTTCTAGGGAAAACAAACTCCCTTAGTTGGATTTTTAAGGGAAAACATGTCCTTTATGTAGGAAGCTTAAAAAGTAGGGATTTGTGAGTCAAGCAAAGCAGGAGAGACCAACTCACCACTTACAGGCATGGGGAGGGAGGGAGCAGGGGTTCAGTCATCCTAAAATCACAGAACATCCTGAGCTGGAAAGGACCCACAGGGATCAGTGAGTCCAACCCCTGGCTGTGCACAGACACCCCAAAAATCCCACCCCGCCCTTGGGAGCGTTGTCCAAGCTCTGCTGGAGCTCTGGCAGCCTCAGCTCTGCTGCTGCTCCTGCTCACCGTGCACAGAGGGATGCTGCCAGGAGGGTTTGGAGTCTTGCACCATTCCTCGTGGCTTCTGCCTGCAGGGAACAGCAGAGGGGTCAGAGTGGGCACACCTCTCCTCCCCTGCCCTCCTGGGATCTGCCCCTGTGCTGGCCCAGGAGCCCACCTCAGTGTGCTGGGTTAATGTGGAACCTGCTGATCCTGGTTCATACCCCTGGAAAAAGCAGCCAGGTTAAAATGTCCCTGCACTGCAAGGGCTGCTGTGTTTGGCTTGGCCAGAGTCCCTTCTGCTGCTTTTCCCTTCCTTTGTCTCAGTGGGATTGCTGATGGGACAACACAGCCAAGGGCAGCAGGTACTTGGGGCAAAATTCTCCAGATTGCTCAAAATGAGGCAAATTGTTGCTTTTTTTCAGGAACTTTGGGAAAGCTGCTGCTGGTTTCTCTTGGCAATGCTGGCCCAACAGCGGCTGCCTCCAGCAAGTGCTGGTGTTCTCAGGGAGGTTTCAGCAGCTCCCCTCCTCACAGTCCCCTGCTAAACAAGCTGAAATCCATCAGAAATCTGAGTCCTCAGCCATGGAAGTGCACCCTGTGTGTCCTTGAGAGCCTCCTATCTCCCTGTGCCGCAGGAACCCCTTTGAGGGAGCCTTTGGGGTGGGTGTCCTTTACCCATGCCCTGCCTTTCAGGGGCACAGGTAAAGGGTGAGCACCTTTATGTGGCCCTGCAGAGCCAATATCCCGTTATACAAGCTTTTCCCTGGGAGTGGGTCACCCTCCCCGTGCTGAAATTCTTCCTGGTAACGACAGTGGTTGTGGGACAGCAAAAGAGGTTTGTGCCTCCGGGGGAGAAATAAGAATGCAAATATCTTTGGCATGAAAAACCCAAAGCGATTTGCTCCTTGGTATTTCTTGTCAGTGCTCTGCATCTGTCTCTGCCTCACCTTCCCATTCCTTTCCTTCGGGCTTTCCAAGAGCAACAAGGCTTTGGGGAGCCAGGGGGGCTGCAGGGGCCCTGTGGGGGGACAGGGATGGTGCCTGCAGCCTCTCCAGCCCAGAGCTTCCCAGCCCCGCTGTAAAACCCTTTTCCCCCTGTATTTTTGCCCACTTTTGGGGGGGATTTCCCCGCTGCTTGGCTTGGCTGTGCCTGGCTGGGATCCTTTTCCCTGGCACATCCCTGGCGGGTCGGTGCCGTGCCTCTCCATCATCCCGGGAGCTGCGGCAGCAGGGCTGGGCTCTGGGGGCTCTGTGATCCACAGGGAAGCACAGCCAGCGTCCTGGCTGTCTGTCTGTCCTGGCATAAATCAGCCGGGAGCTGGAAAAGAGGGCGGGCTGGGAAGAGCAGGGGAGCGCGGGCCCCTGCCCGAGCCGCCCGATGGCTCAGGGACTTCCAGTTCATTTATTCTGCTGGGGTTTGCCCAGCCCTGCTCGGCTGAATGTGAAATGTTTTCTCTGAAAGACCCAGCAGCGAGATGGGTGAAAAACATTCTCCTGTCCCAGGAGCTGGCAGGAATCCTGGTAAATCTGCAGAAGTATGTTTTTGTCGGTGCTGCTTGTTCTGTGAGGAGAACTAGTATAAACTATGCCAGTAGAAAACCTTTTTCCTGGAATGAAGTCCTGACTGTGTTCAGAGCATTGTCAGGATGGTTGTGCTGGGAAGGGAGCTTTGCTGGTAAACATGTCAGCCCTGGGGAGGCCCAGGGGGGCAGGCACAGAGCTCCTGCCCCTCTGCCCCACGGCCAGACCCCTCACCAGGTACCTGCTGCCCTTCTCTGCTCAAAACAAAATCTCTGGAATATTAAATTGCAAAAAAAACCCCCATAGATTTGTTTTTCTGTCCTGCCATCCATGCCCCCAGGCATCCCCCTGGGGTCAGCACCAAGAGCCCCACCATGGGCTATGTCCCCATGCCACGTCACTCAGCAGCTGTGGGGCCAGCACAGCTGAGCCATCCCTTCTGCCTGCCTGCCTCAGTTTCCCTGACCCCAGCTGGCACAAGGGGTGACACTGGGAGCTCCTGGAGTGCTCCTGGATAACAGCAGCTACCCACTCCAGTTTGAATTGCTCATCCTTTGCTGTGTCCTTTCCTCCTGCTCCTCATGGCTGGGATGGGGGGATCCTGCTGGGACTTTAGCAGGGCCATGGGGTGGGTTTGGGCTGGAGATCAGAGCTGGGACCCCCCGGGTGGGGGGTAGCTGAGCAGGGGGTAGCTGAGCACAGCTGGGTGTGCTTCAAAGGGCGGCAGGTTTTTCTGGGCTCCAGCCACTGCTTTGCTCTCCAGGCAGGCGTGAAAATGTGAAAGAATGTGAAAAATGTGAAAATGATCGTGCTGGCCCCAAGACTTGTAAACTTTCTGGTTAATGTGTAATAAATACATGACAGATACTGCCAGTGACCCCTCTGTGGTGGCACTGCCAGCGGTGACATCCCAGAGAGGCATCTCCCCTCCTCTACACCGGGGGACTCCTGCTTGGAGAGGCTTTGGGGCTTTTCTAAACTGGTTTATCAGGTTTGGAGTTCTCCAGGCTCCTGTGGGCAGCCTGCCTGGCCTGCAGAAGGCAGGTTGTGTGTTTGTTCAGTGCTGCCCTGGCCAGGGTGTGTGCTGTGCCGCCAGGTGTGCCGTGTCCAGCTGGGAGCACACTGCTCATCCCCAGCCCTTGGACTCCTCCAGCTGTAGCCACCTGGGCAGTATTTCCTGCTTGGCACAGGGCGAGGTGCCACAGTGTTCCTGCCAGCCTGGGGAATCTCTCCTGAGTCATTCTGATTTTTGCAGGAAGAGCTGAAAGTTGGTGGCTCAGCTCTGGGCGGGTCTGGCTGCTGCAAGGCTGGAGGGGAGCAGAGGTGATCCCAGGGGGCAGAGGGGATCCCAGGGGGCTGCCACCTCCTCCAGGGGGATGTGCACAGCCCAGACTCACCGGGAATTTGGGCTGGAAAGGGTCAGAGAGGGCTCAGAGTGCAGAGTTGGTGCCAGGGATGGCCTCACACTCATGGATGTGGTCTGGATGTGGGCACTCCACAGGCTGTGTTCCACCTCGCCTTCAAACAGCCTCCCAGCATCAGGGATCAAGGAGTTTTCTCTGATGTTAATGCATGAATTTGAGCCCTGAAAGACTTTCCCTGTAATTTAGGGAGGAGAGAATGTCCTTTGAAAATCGTTTGGGTTGTTTTTGTTAGCTGTGTCATCCTGGCATCCCTCCGCGGGGTAAATGGAAGGGACAGAGGTTTGTGGCTTGGGCTGCTTTGAGGTGGGCTGGGTTTTTCTGTGGGGCTGCAGGTGCAGCTGGGGGGCCCTGGGCACGCTGGGGGTGCAGGGCAGCCCCTCAGGAGCGGGGCTGGCTCTGGGATGGTGCAGCTGGGAGGATGTTTGGAGAGGCTGGGATTTGGCACAGACACCAGCCCAGCCTGGGAGGGGCTGGCAGCTGCTGGGTGCCAGTGGAGGTGCCAGAGGGCAGGATTAGGTGGTGTGTCTTCCCAGAAAGCCTGAACACCACCTGCCCGAGGAGATCAGCTCAACTTTTGGTGCTTTGTTTTTCCCCAAACCCCAGGTCTGGCACAGGGTGATATCCAGCTCTGTTGTGGAGAGTCCCAGACAGGAGGCTGGGAAGGGGCTGGGATGGGCTGGGAAGCGTTTGGGAAGGGGCTGGGATGGGGCTGGGATAGAGCTGGGATGGGGCTGGGATGGGGCTGGGATGGGGCTGGGATGGGGCTGGGAAAGGGCTGGGAAAGGGCTGAGAAGTGTTTGGGAAAGGGCTGAGAAGTGTTTGGGATGGGGCTGGGAAGGGGCTGGGATGGGGCTGGGAAGGGGCTGGGATGGGGCTGGGAAAGGGCTGAGAAGTGTTTGGGAAAGGGCTGAGAAGTGTTTGGGATGGGGCTGGGATGGGCTGAGGTCTCCCTGACCACTGTGGAGTTGGTGTCTCAGTTCTGTGCTGTCCCTGGCCCAGCTGGGCTCAGCCCCTGGGTAAGGGGTGTTGGAGCCAAGCAGAGCTGCTCCTTTCAAGTCCCATCCATGAAGAAATCCAAAGGAATTTTTGTTTTGAAAGTAAAGGCAATTTAGCTGCCATCAAACATGTCCAGAGACCTAACCTGGATTCTTGGAGCTGTGGGCATGCAGGAGGTGCAGAACAGGACCTGAGCTCGTGGTCTTTGTTGGGGCAGGGCTGAGCAGCCTTTCCCAGAGCTGAGCCCCCTCCCACAGCTCAGCCCCACCACCCAGCACATCCCACCCCCATTAGCTGATGTACCGAGAGCCTCCAGGCTTCATAAATTATCACTCTGGGCTATGAATTATGAATGGAGCCACATCTCTGATCACTGCAATGCTCTGCTGACAGCCTGGGAGCTGCTGATCCAAGTGACAGCCCAAAGCTTTTAAAGATGTGAACAGCAAAACCTGGGAATAATTGACTTTGCAAGCTACAAACCGCTTGGCCTACAGATGGGGCTCATCGTATTCCCTCTCCTGCCTCCTCCTGTCCTGTTCTTCTCTTCTGTTTCCCAGTGTTGTCTTCTCTCCTCTCCCTCTCTGTGTTAATGGGTGTTGTCCTGGCCGTGTTGGCCATCCCATGGGAGCTGCATCCCTCATGCCACGTTCCTGCCCCAGGAAGCTGCTGGGGACAGCTGGGTCCTGGCCATCCCCACAGCCAGTGCACAGCTCCTGCTGCAGGACCCAGCAGGGTTTTGGCAGATCTCTGCAGCTTCATCCCCCTTTGGCCATAACTTTGTGTTCCAGACATCGTATTCCACAGCTCCATCTGCTCCGTGGAGCTCTGCCACAGCTCCGTCCCTGCCATCGGTCTTTGGAGGCTTTGTCCTTGAACCTTTCCATCTCTGGAGGCCAAATCCTGCCCTAAGCAGCTGGATGTGCTTAATCCTGGCTGTTCCTGGGGGTTTTGCCTTCTGGGTTTGTGTGTTGTCCTGCCTCCCCACCTCTGGGGCAGCTCCCTCTGGCAGCCGGGCTGTGCTCCCTGCTTGGCAGCTGTGGGGCAGAGGGACCAGAACTAAATTCAGACAGACAGTGAGCTTCAGACACTTGCCAGTTGTCACAAACGAAGTCAGGGCCTTGTATGAACCCCTCGTGGGGCTGCAGCACTCGGGAGAAATCCCTTGGCAAGCAGGAGGGAGCAGGGGAAGGCAGGAGCAGGGGAAGGCAGGAGCAGGGGATGGCAGGAGCAGGGGAAACCACCCCAGCCTGAGCAGTGGGTGCAGGAAAGGGGCCCTCTGCATTCCCAGTCCTTTCCAGCTGAGCCATTGTAAACCAGGCAGCAGAACAAGTTCAAAGGCAAAGCTTTGGTGTCTGGAGAAGGTGTTTTACCCTGCTGTCTGCAGAAGCTGCTTTGCCCCAGGCTGGGGTGCAGGAGCACTCCCCTGTCCTGACCGTTTTGTTTCCCTTGCACAGGGGATGCTGTAACCAGGTGAAGGATGGACTGACGGAGCCCCAGCAGTTTCTTCTCCACGCAGGGCTGGGGGGCTCATCCTGCAGGGAAGGAGCCATTTTTGGACACAAACATCCCTCTGGCTGCGGCGAGGGGAGTGGAGCTGCCGCGGATCGAACCCGCTCCTGGAGGGGAAAATACCACTTCAGTTTGGTGTCTAATTAGATATTTACCAGGAAGGAAGGAAAGATATAAATAGGGTGACAGTGACTTCAAAGGGTGTTTTTTGACTTCTAAGAATAACACCTTTGCTGGCGCCGGTTTCGGGAATATCGGCTGTGCCTGGGTGTGAAAGACGGAGGAGGTGTCGCAGCTCGGTCGGCAGCCAGGGGAGCAAACCCAGACCCCAGCCCTGCTCCAGCCCCACAGACCGGCTGAGGAGGGGACAGAGCTCCTGGAAAGCTCAGCTGCATCCACAGGGACACAGCAGGGGCACTCTGGGGAAGACCAACAGTGCTGCAACGCGGGCAACAGGAGACGTGTGGCACCATGGGGACCCCAGCCCTGTCCCCATGGGCAGTTGTGGTGCTCACCCCGGTGCTGGTGGGACTCTGGGCTCCCTGTGTGGTGAGCAGGCAGCCCAACTTCATTGTCATCCTGGCTGATGACATGGGCTGGGGGGATCTGGGTGCCAACTGGGCAGAGACAAAGGAGACCCCACATTTGGATCAGTTGGCTGCTGAAGGAACAAGGTAATGCCTGCCCCCCTTCCCTGCCCTCACCCTGCATCCCTGGTCACTCCGTCCTGCAGCACAGGGGAATTCAGCCCTGCGGGACTGGCAGGTGAGGGAGTTTTGTTGGTGTGGGTTTGGGTGCATGGGGAGGGCAGCCAGAGCACCTTGGGGTGCAGGTCCATCCATCCTGCTGGAACCTTCATCTGCCACTCCTCACCCTCACCCCCAGAGCAGAAGGGGGAGTGTCCAGGGGAGGAGGGAGGGGCAGGGCAGTGTTAGAGCACACGGGATCTGTTGAGTTGAAGCGTTTTTCATTTTGCAGGTTCGTGGATTTCCACTCAGCTGCCTCCACGTGCTCCCCCTCCCGCGCCTCGCTGCTCACGGGGCGCCTGGGGGTGCGCAACGGGGTCACCCACAACTTCGCCATCTCCTCTCTTGGGGGCCTCCCCCTCAACGAGACCACCCTGGCCGAGGTCCTGAGGGAGGCTGGCTACAGCACGGGGGCTATAGGTAATGCCCAGAGCGCCAGGGGCAGCAGGGCAGGTGGCAGAGGGTGACAAAGGTGCCCTTGCAGAGGAGGTACTTGTGTGAAATGCTGGCAGTGAAAGGGAAATCACGTGAGAGAGATTTCACACATCCCCCTTGGATTTTGCAATGCCAGGCTTAAAATCTTCCTTTCCAATGGTGCTGCTGGAAATCCAGACTTCTCCATTTAATCTCTCATCGCTTTATCTGCCGAGGAATGTGCTGGGTGTTCCTTAGCAAACAGGACTGGCTCTGCCATCCTGCATCCCACCCCGCCCGTGGTGCTGCTGGCTCGGTGGCTCTGGGCACCCTCCTGTCACTGTGGGTCCCCCTCAGCCTGCACAAACCCTTTGCATCTGCAGCTCCTGCTGTTGTGCTGGCAGGAAATCCCTGTGTTTCTCCATTCCCCCCCAAGTTTTTGCAGTTCTCCCTCTTGGATCGGCGCGTTCAGTGGGAGCAAGCACGTGCCGGAGGTCAGAGGATGAAGCTGGGTTTGGGGAGGGGTGAGGAAGCCTGCCTAGGACACAAACACATGAAAGAGCCTTTTAAGGCTGGAAACACTCACTTTGCACAGGCATGAGATACCTTATGCATTTTTTCTGGGTTTTCTGCAAAAATAGACGGCGTTCTGGAATGGCAGCCAGCACAAACAAGGAACCTTTCTTGTAGCTTGGTTAAAGCCCCCAGCGCTGCGGGCACCTTGTGGGTGAGGGCTGCTGGTGGCCAGAGCTCTGTCACCTCTGAAATGATGTTCTGTGTCCTCCACGCAGGCAAGTGGCACCTGGGACACCACGGCCACCATCACCCCAACTCCCGTGGTAAGGGCTGTGCCAGCGGGAGGGGCTGAGGGCCCTGTGGCCACCGTGACCCTGCTGACCCCCTCGCTTGCCTCTCAGGCTTCGACTACTACTTTGGGATCCCCTACAGCCACGACATGGGCTGCACGGACACCCCTGGCTACAACGTGCCACCCTGCCCACCCTGCCCACAGCACAGCACCTCTGCCAGGTACAGGGCATGGGGTGCCATGCTGGCACGGGGAGGTGGTGTTGGCAGCAGTGTCCCAGCCCTGAGGGCTGCCCTTGGCTGTGGTCGCCTCCTCTCATGCTCTGTGCACGCAGTTTCCCGCTGCAGGGCACGGGCTGGGAGCCCCCCGTGCCACGGGGACACTGGCACTGCTCCCTTTGCCCTCCCTCCCTCCCTCGGCCTTCTGGAAGCCAGGAGATCAGCCAGGCTCTGGTGACAAGCTTGGGGTGGCTCTTCCCAGCAGGGTGGCGAGGAAGGACTGTTACACAGAGGTTGCCCTGCCTCTCTTTGAGAACGTCACCATCGTCCAGCAGCCCGTGGAGCTGGGCAGCCTGGCCAGGCGCTACGCGGAGGAGGCAGAGCGGTTCATCCAGAGGGCCAGGTGAGGGCCACCCGCTGTCCCCTGCCTGTCCCCTTCGCTGGGAGAGCTCCTGGGTCACTGCAGCACTCCTCTGCATCGCCCTGGTGCAATGCCAGGGGAGATGGGTGTTGCCCCATGGCTCAGATTTGGGGTGTCCGTGGCTTGGCTCCCTGCTGGAGGAGGCACTGGGGCTCTTCTGGTGTCCTCTGAAAGGGACTTGTGTTTTTAAAACTATGTTTTTGGGAAAAGTCAAAGCCTTTGAGTGGGGCTGTGCCTTCTTCTGAGGGGAATGTGCATGATGTCACGGTCCTTCCATCCCTGCATCCCTGTGGATGAGGTGGCAATGGGCTGGTGGAGGTGCCTCCATGGGTGTGAAGTGCTGGCAGGGGCTGTCAGCAGGCGCTGAGTGGTGTCAGGGTGGGACCAGAACAGCACCCAGAGGTGTTTGAACACGCCTCGTGTGTGAGATTGGATCCATTTTGTGGATAAAGCACTCCGGGATCGCTGGGCTTCAGGATCTGCCTCCCCCAGCCCCAGAGCACAGGAGGTGCCGGGCTGTGTTTGTCCCCGAGGAGCGAAGTGGCTCCTCCGAATGGGGCCCCGAGCCCTGCTGACGGGTTGTGTAATTTTAATCCCCATTATTGGCGGATTACGAGCTGTGACTTTGCAAAATGCCTCCCTGCAGAGTGAGGAGAGGAAGCGCTGCCGGGCAGCCCTGCCTGAGCCCATCCCTGCCTGCATCCCGGGATAACGCAGCCCAGGGAAGGCGGGTCCTGGGGGTGAGGTTTGTGTAACAGAGGTGAATGAAGGGCTGGGCAGGGAGCAGCACATGGGCACATGGCTCTTTATAAAACTGGTCAGTGTTTTGTTCCATAAAACCTGTAGTTTGTCCCTTTGGGTACCAAGGATTGGCCGTGGGTTTGGGATTGAGGCCATGTTTGGGATGCTGAGGGTACCCAGGCAGCAGCAACCCCTTCTCCTGCCACACTCCCACCTCTCTGGGCTGCCAGGGTGCTCTGTGGCTGTGAAACCAAGGGTGTAAGCTGTGGGTTAATAGGAAAAACCTTTAAACTCCCAGAAGTGTGTTAGGGTTATCTGTGTTCATGGAGAACAGGATTAAGCAGGTGCCTGCCTTTTCTTCCCTTCCCTTTGATGGCTTATTCCAGTTTTCCCCTGCCTGACTCATTCATTACAGGGCAACAAAAGAACACCGGATTTGCCATCTCAGTGTTTTTTTAACCAGTCAAGGTTGAGCAATTTGTGACAGTGAGACGTGGCACTGCTCGAGCACAAGCGAGCGTGGGAGCAAAAGTCAGGGACTGCTGTCTTCAGTTATTGATTAAACGTTTGCCTGATCTTCAGGACAATTCCGAGGTGTCTGTGTGGCAAATGAGAGGGATGTTCAGTGGGGCATCACAGCCACGAGTCCATCGAGATGCTGGAGCCAGGGATTAGCTTTCCCTGCTCCAGGGGCTCTGGCATCCCACGGGAAGAGCTCTCTCAGTGGCAGCTGGCATGGGGCACATGAGCTCTCCTGACCCCCACGTCCTGCAGGGACAGGCGGGGTGCCAGGGGGACACAGGGTGTGAACACCATGGACACCCCAAATCTGAACCCCATGGCTCGGATTTGGGCTCAGTGGCAGCTGGCAAGGGGCACATGAGCTCTCCAGACCCCACGTCCTGCAGGGACAGGCAGGGTGTCAGGGGGACACAGGGTGTGAACACCATGGACACCCCAAATCTGAACCCCATGGCTCGGATTTGGGGTGTCCATGGCTTGGCTTCCTGCTGGAGGAGGCACTGAGGCTCTTCTGGTGTCCTCTAAAAGAGGTGTGTGTTTTTAAAACATCGTTTTTGGGGAAAGTTGAAGTGGGGGGTTTGAGGAAACCCTTTGTGGGGTTCCAGCGCCGTGGGGGATGCAGCAGCTCCAGGCAGGATGGGGTTTACTCATTTTCCATGCCAGGTGGGTGACGGGCAGGGGAAGGAAGTGCTGACACTCACGCTGGAAGGGCCGAGAGCTCGCAGGAGGCAGCGATGGGGCGGCCGGGGCTGGGCCAGGACACGTCCCCAGGATCCGGCCCCTCCTCGCCGCTGGCCATCCCACCCTTCCCCTCCGAGTCCCTGAGGAAGAGCAGGCCTGGTTGGAGCAGATAAATATAGCTGTAAACAAGCAAACAGGACGTGTCCTGTGCTGGGTTCGGAGCGAGCGGGCGGCGGGGCAGCGCGCGGCGGTGAACGTGCCGTGGGGCTGCTGGCACTGCCCAGGCTGTGCCCGGGTGTGGCACTGCCTGCTACTGCCCAACCTCTGTCCACAGCACCACGAGGCCGGGCACCTGCTGGGGAGGGGGAGAAAAGGCCAAAATGGGCCCTCTGAGACAGGGGAGGGAGGTGTGTGGGTGCAGCAGCGTGCAGCGTTTGGCCGCTGGAGATGGAGAAGGGGCAAATCCACCCCAGATGGGGGCACAGTTGGCAACGGGGGGCAGTGGGGAGAGGTTTAAGCAGGAGCAGGGGAGACGTGGCTCAGCTCAGCCAAGCCTCCTCCCTGCAAGGAGAGGGGTGATGGACGTGGGGTGCTTTCCCCCAAGGAGCTGCGGCAGAAGCAGGAGTGGAAGGACCACTGGTTTGTGTCCCCAGGCTCAGCAGTGCCACCACCCCAAAAACCCCCTGCCACTGCCTTCCCCTGGAGGCTGAACACTCTCCCCCTGTCCCCTGTGCAGGGACAGAGGACGCCCCTTCTTCCTCTACCTGGCCCTGGCCCATATGCACGTCCCTCTGGTCCCCCCGCTGCCCCCTGCTCCGGGCAGGGGCATCTACGGAGCCTCCCTGGGCCAGATGGATGCGCTGGTGGCACGGATCAAGGAGGTGGCTGACAGCCTGGGGAAGGGCAGCACGCTGCTCTGGTTCACAGGTACTGCAGGACAACGGGCTGGGGGTGACACTGGGGACTGCCCCTGGAGCGGGGGCAGGACCTGTGTTTGTCTCCTGCCCTCGATGTCCCCTGCCCTTGTTGTCCCTGCCCACAGTGTCTCCTGCCCTTGATGTCCCCTGCCCTCAGTGTCCCCTGCCCTCAATGTCCCCTGCCCTTATTGTCCCCTGCCCTCCGTGTCTCCTGCCCTTGATGTCCCCTGCCCTTCGTGTCCCCTGTCCTTGGTGTCCCCTCCCACAGTGTCTCCTGCCCTCAATGTCCCCTGCCCTCAATGTCCCCTGCCCTCAGTGTCCCCTGTCCTCAGTGTCCCCTGCTCTCAATGTCCCCTGCTCTCAATGTCCCCTTCCCTCAATATCCCCTGCCCTCAGTGTCCCCTGCCCTCGGTGTCCCCTGCTCGATGCTCCCATTGCTCTGTGGGTGGGGGGTGGTCCCAGCGTGGGGTCGGGGGTCCCAGGCTGCTGTGGCCACTCGGCTGGGTGGTGCCCACCCTGCCACCCCCTCCGGCCGCGGGGCTGAAGTGGTGGGGCCGTGACTAATTAAACCACAAATCCTCCTTCGTTAAGAAGCCCAAATCCGCTCTCTGTGCTGAGCAGCCTCCCTAATGAGGATGTCTTGCTCCTGATGACAGGAACCGCTCATTAACACCCCGAGCTGGTGGCACCGTGCCCCCCCTGCCCTGCCCTGGCTGCCCTCCAGCCCCTGCAAACCAACTGCTAAAAACCAAAATCCATCAACCAGCTCCTCTGGCTCCTGTGGGGAGGCAGCACAGGGTGGCAGAGAGGGGTGGAAGGGTCACTTGTCCTTGCCTGCCCCCCTACTGTGGGTGTCCCCTGTGGTGCTGGTGTCTCTCATGGGGACATTTCTTTCTCTTGCAGGTGACAATGGCCCCTGGGCACAGAAGTGTGAGCTGGCAGGACGCCTGGGGCCATTCGTGGGTGCCTGGCAGAGGCAGAGAGGTAACCTGGCAGCGTGGAGGGGGTCCCAGTCCCGGGGGGCACAGGGGGGGCTGCTGCACAAAGCCCTCACTGCCCACTGAGGGGACACGGGCAGCATTCCATCCACCCTAGCATTTTCCCGGCTGCTTGAACACACCCCAGCACTATTTTTTTTTCTTTCAAACAGCCAAGTTTCCCCCAAAATTGCTGCGGGGGGTGGGCTGGGGTCCCCATTACCCCAGAGCCTGGGGTGAGTGTGCTGGTTTGGAGGTGGGGTGTTGCTATCTGCCCCATCAGGGTCTCACAGCCCTCACCCCCATCCTGCCCAGAGCAGAGCACCCACCACCCTCCCCACACCCCGGGACTTTGCTTTTCTTTCTCTCCACCGTTTTGTTTTGTTTTGTTTGGGTTTCTTTTTTTTCTCTTTCCTCCTTTTCCGGCCAAGCCATCTGCTTGGTGGGTTTATTTCAGCCGGGGCAGCCAGAAACATTCATGAGTCAGGCGTTTCCCACTTCTGCTTGTATTACGCGGTGCTAACGTGCCAGGCTCAGCTGCCCGTGCCCGGGGTCAGCGCTCAGGGTCATCCTTCTCCTCTTCCTGACACCCTGGCCACGGCACCATGGCCATTCCCTGTGCAGACAGCGCTGGCTGCCTCCCATTCCCAGCTCCCTTCCTTCTCCTGGCCCCGGCCATGCAATCGTAACCTTAATTTTCTAGTAAACAAACCCCGCTGCCGGCCCCGGGTTGTTGCTCTTGAGCAACCCACGGTCACAAGCCCGAGCAGATGGCACAGAAAGTGCAGGGCTGGGGAACAGGGCGAGCCAAACCAGCCCCTTCCCATCCCCTGTGCCCTGCAGAGCGCCCGGCTCCCTCCTGCCGGGTGGGCAGGGGATGGGTTCGGGCTGGCAGAGTGCTCCAAGCTGGCTGCAGCACCCCTGCCACCTCCCTGGTGCTTGGAAAGCCGGGCTGGCACTGCCCGGGGTGCCAGGCTGGGACGCTCGGCCTTGCCAGCCCAGAGGGATTGTTCCCAGGCAGGGAAAAGCCCCCGAGGAGTGGGAGGGCAGGGGGAGACAGGCTGCTCCCGCCTCTATTGATTTCTGTGTGTTCTCATGTGTTTCTGTATGTTTCTGTGTGTCTCCAAATGTTTCTACTTGTCTCTATGTTCCTATATGTTCCTATACGTTCCTACGTGTTTCTATATGTTTCTAACATGTTTCTATAATTTTCCAACGTGTTTCTGCATATTTCTACATGTTTCTATATGTTTCTAACGTTTCTATAATTTTCCAATGTGTTTCTGCATATTTCTACATGTTTCTGCATATTTCCACGTTTCTATGTTTCTAACATGTTTCTATAATTTTCCAATGTGTTTCTGCATATTTCTACGTGTTTCTATACATTACATATTTCTACATGTTTCTAACATGTTTCTATATGTTTCTGCATGTTTCTATATGTTTCTAACATGTTTTTATACATTTCTACAGGTTTTATATGTTTCTAACATGTTTCTATATGTTTCCAACATGTTTCTATAAATTTCCAACAATGCGTCTGCATGTTTCTAAATGTTTCTATGAATTTCCAGCATGTTCCTGCATGTTTCTATATGTTTCTACGTGTTCATATGTTTCTACATTTCTATATGTTTCTGTGTGTTTCTACATGTTTCTAACATGTTTCTCTATGTTTTTATATGTTTATACATGTTTCTATGTTTCTGCATTTTTCTATATGTTTCCCGTAGCTCCATCTTCTGTTTTAGGGTCCAACCCTAAATTCCAGGGCTGTTTTCCACTGATTTGAGGTGGTCACTGCAGCTGGGAGAGCGCAGCACATCCGTGTGTGCTGCCCCTTTCTCTGTGCTTCCCACAGCCCCAGAAACTCATCTCCCACCTTGGGGTCAAAAGTCCAGCAATACTGGGATACTGGGAGAGAGAAAAACGTTTTGGGGATGTGATGCTGGGCATGTTTTGAGGCAGGTTGGGGAAGTTCCAGACCTGGTGTCCCTGTGCTGAGGACCTGCTGTGTGTGTGGTGGGAGCAAGGTTTTCATCCCGCCACGGGAATGCACAGTTCAGCTTTCCTGGAAAGCCTGGAAAGTCCCCACAGCAGCAAGGCTGCATCATCCCCACTCTGGAGAAAATTCCCTGGTTGGGTTTGGGTGTTTCAGCCCTGTTTACTTCCCAAAGTGTTAATGTGACCTCATTCCCAGGCTGCTCTGACCTGACCAGAGGTGCTGGGGTGGCTTGGTCAGGAAATATCCGTCTGATGTCCTTCCAGAGACCCCTGGCCACGCATGGAAAAACCCTGCAAATGCATCCAGGAGGATGAGTTTTTCCATTTATGTGCAGAGATGGGGCTTGATATTAATTGCTGCAATTGCTGTGGTTTCCTGGGGTGGCTGGGGAAACACCAAAACTTTGGGTGAGGAATGGGAGAGATTGGGGGTGTGCTCAGAAGGTCAGAAACCTTTTCCCTGGGTGAATCCTTGTGGCACCTGTGCCAGTGGTGTCCTTGTAGGCATGGCAGCATTGTCTGGGCTTGGATCAGCCGGTGGCATCCAGGGACGCTGGGAGGCCGGGCTGGGGACAGCCCGGGGGCTCTCTTGGCTGTGCCCCCAGGAAATGGCTCGGGGCGAGTGCCGTTGCCATGGCCCGCTGAAAGGCAGCGCACAAAGGCTGCTCCTGGGAAGTTTGCTCCCTGAATCGTCGGGATTTTCTCTTTGCCCCATTCCCAACCCCTTCCCGCTCCAGCTGCCTGGGGCCCTTTGGGCTGCAGCCAAGGCAGAGGCTCTCCAGCCCCCTTGCAGCCCTTTTGGTGCTTGGTGCTCCCATTTTGGGGCTCAGCACCCCGATTTTGGTGCTCAGCACCCCAGCCCCTCTGCTCAGCACTGCAGGTGGAGAGAGGGACTGGGCAGACTCCCTGTGCAGCTCAAATCCAGGGGCAGAGCAGAGTGCTTTGGGTGCTGTCAGCCAAAGGATGGATCAGGTTCATTAGCTGGCAGGAGGGTTATTAGCAGGATGGTGTTTTTAATGAGGCAGGTTTCCAGCAGCCGGGGGAGGGGGGCCTGCTGGTGCTGAGCCCTGCAGGGGACAGAAGCCCCTGGAATAAATTCCTACATTTCCTGCCTGCTCCATTCTCTCACCTGGCATCAAAAGGGGATGGAAATGCAATGGCTCTGGCAGCTGCTGCATTTCTCATCACTCACTGGAGCAGAGAAACACAAACCAGTGCCCAGCTGAGACCCCTTTCTTTTCCCTTTCCCTTTGAAAAACTCCTGCAGTAGTTCTCCCTTCCCTGGCCCAGTGAAATTTCCCTCCTTTGTGGAAATTTGCACCATCTCTGCCTCTGAACAGTTCCTTTCCCAGGGGAGCTCCGGGCTCGGGAGGTTCTCCAGCATCAGCAGGATGCTGAGCACTGCCCTGTCCTCCTGCAGGTGGGAGCTCAGCGAAGCAAACCACCTGGGAAGGAGGGCACAGGGTGCCAGCCCTGGCGTACTGGCCTGGCCGTGTCCCTGCCGGGAGGACGAGCCACGCTCTGCTCAGGTGAGAGCCCCCTTTGGGAGAACCCCATCCCCACGCTGCCCCCCAGGCCATCACCTGGGCTTTGGCAGCAGCTGCCTGCTCCGGTGATGCCCTGCCTTGTGCCAGACTGTACTTTTGTCCTCTCCAAGGCTTAGTGGCTCAGCTGAGGGGAGCTGAAAGGGCTTTTTGTGCGGCCGGCGCTCGCAGCCAGCGGGCTGGGCGCGCTGCAGGCGGCGGCCAGGGCCCGCCGGTAATTAAAAGATGCCGATGTTCTCTCTGCCCAGCGAGGAGCAGGCCCGGCTCTGCGGTCTGCGGACGGCTTTCTGCGGAGCAGGGTGCGGTTGGGAGCAGAGGTGGCGCTGGCAATCCCTGCAGGATGCGGCCGGGGCAAGGGCAGCGAGGGGAGCTCTGTGCAGCCCCTCTCCCTGCAGCGTTTGCAGCCCTGCATGTGCAGCCTGCACCTCTCCTTGCAGCCCCTCTCCCTGCAGCATTTGCAGCCCTGCATGTGCAGCCTGCACCTCTCCTTGCTGCCCCTCTCCCTGCAGCATTTGCAGCCCTGCATGTGCAGCCTGCACCTCTCCTTGCAGCCCTTCCTGGGCAGCAGCTGTGGGGCACAGCCTGGGGCAGAGCGGGGGGAATGTCCCTGTTCATTCTTGAGGGGTCCCCACGGTGTTGGGGGGTTTGGGGTTGCCGGGAATTGGGATGTCCTGTCCCCTTTCATCCCTGATGGGTCTCCACGGTGCTGGGGTCAGACTGGGGGATTTATTATTGGGAATTGGGATATCCTGTCCCTGTTCATCCCTGATGGGTGCCCACAGTGCTGGGGGTCAAGCTGGGGGGGTTTGGGGTTGTTGGATGTTGGGATGCCCTGTCCCCTTTCATCCCTGATGGGTCCCCATGGTGCTGGGGTCAGACTGGGGGATTTGGGGTTACTGGGAATTGGGATGTCCTGTCCCCTTTCATCCCTGATGGGTCCCCATGGTACTGGGGTCAGGCTGGGGGGTTTGGGGTTACTGGGAATTGGGATGTCCTGTCCCGTTCATCCTTGGTAGGTCCCCACAGTACTGGGGGTCAAGCTAGGGGGGTTTGGGGTTGTTGGATGTTGGGATGACCTGTCCCTGTTCATCCCTGATGGGTGCCCATGGTGCTGGGGTCAGGCTGGGGCGTTTGGGGTTATGGGAATTGGGATGCCCTGTCCCTGTTCATCCCTGATGGGTGCCCATGGTGCTGGGGTCAGGCTGGGGCGTTTGGGGTTACTGGGAATTGGGATGATCTGTCCCTGTTCATCCTTGAGGCACACAGGGCTGAGGGGTTGCTGGCTGTTGGGAAAGAACGTCCCAGCTGCTGGGAGCAGGTCCTGACTGGTGGGCCCTGGGGCAGTGCTGGGTGTTTCCAAGGTCCGTGAGATAAGCTGGAGACACTCACTCGTTCCACAGCCCGAGGGCAGCTCTGGGAGCTGGATTTTTGCAGGCAAGGGAAGGTTTGAGCCAGAAGCTGAGTCACTGGTGTCTGGTGGAGGGGATGGGGAGCACGTAGCACCCTGTGGCTTCACCTCCAAATCCACGGGCTGTGGGGCAGAGCCGCCAGCCCCTGGGGCAGCATGTGCAGGACCAGGGCCCATCCCATCCCCCTGCCCCTGCCTCCAAGCCCAGGAATTCTGATTATCTCCTCAAAGATCTTATCTCCTGCCTTTCCCAGCTCCAGTCGGGCAGGTTGGACAGCTGGAAAGCTGGAAACCCAGCAGAGGCAGGTGCAGCACTCCGGGTGCTTGGAGAGTGGCTCTGTGGCTCCCCAGAGTCACATTCAGCTGGTGTCCCCCCACGGGGACATGGCCACGGGGCCATGCCCAGCTCTGCAGGGTGGTGGTCTGCCATCAGGAAGGGGCACCCCCACTTTGGGAGCAGCACAGAACCAGCCTGGGGGGCGTGAGTGGTGGGTCATGCTCAGGAAAGTGTCACCAGCCGTGGCCTGAGGTGGGACAGGGAATGGGGAGGGACAGGGACGTGGAGGTGCTCACAGCACAGGTGGCTTTTCTCTGTGCCTCTGTCCCCTCGGGACGTGCAACAGGGACAGTGAAACCCCCCCAGCTGATGGGGAAGGGCGAGAAGCTGGGGAGGGAATGAGACAGGAGGGGCTGGGAGCCCTGAGCACCCACAGAGGGACCTGGGCCAGGTGGGATCCCCAGGAGGAGCCAGGGCTGGGCAGGGCAGGTTCTCACCCATCTGCAGGGATCTCCTCCTGCCCTGGGGTTATGGAAACACCTGGCTGGGGCACGGAGGCTGCTGGAGCTGCTCAGGACTCCGTGTGCTGCCTGGCCAGGGAGCGTGGGGGTGAGCGGGGTGAGCGTGCCCGGGGGCCAGGGAGCTGCAGCCAGCACAGAAACGCTGATGCCTCACCACAGACCAGCACCTGCACGCTGGGCTCTGCACAAAACTGCCTGCTCTGCTTTTCTTAATTATGTTTAATTGTCAGAGCCACCCACTGTGCTCCTGCCCTTCCCTGCCCCAACCCGAAGTAGGGCAGGGAAGAAGTAGGTCAGGAGGGTGGTGAGGAGGAGATTGCACCATCCTGGCTGTGCTGGCAGCTGGGGCTGGGCAGGTTGGCTGAGCTGGGGTGTGGGGAGAGCTGCCTGCACGCCAGGCAGTGTTCTGTGCCCATGGTGCCCAGGGTGCTCAGCACCACGGCGGGGCAGTGCTCCCAGCCCGTCCTGCCCAGGGGACAGGCTGCCCATTGTCCCACAGGCAGGAGCTGCTGTCCCTGGGCACTGCCAGCCCTTTTCCTTGGTGTTCAGGTGGCAGCAGGAAGCTGGAGTGTCTTTATGTATTGAATCTTGCCAGGGCAGGGGTTGTCAGCGTGGCATTCTCTTTCCCTCAATTGCCAGGATGTGCCCGCTGGTGCCTTTGCTTTGATGCCAACTTTGACCAAAATCCTATTTTTCCTTCTTTTTCCCATGGGTTACACCTGCCCATGGCTGGAGAAACCTTCCACCACCTCTGCCCTCAATCATGTTGCTCTCCCAGCCCGGGGTTGCTTTCCAGAGGTCCCATCCTTTGGGCAGGGCTGCCTGGGACCATCCACCTGCATGGAGCTGGGAGCTGGGGGTGCTGGGCACCCCTGGCACCAGGGCCAGGCTGCCCAGGTGGGCTGCTGTTTTGGGGGACCCGCTGTGCCCCAGCAAGGCGCCTGCAGGGGTTGCAGTGGAGAGCCAGGATTTTCTGGGCGCCTCGCAGCCGTGTTTGTTCTTATTTGTTCTCTCTGTCTCTTAGCAGCTAAATGAAAACTCCTTCAGTGGGAGAACGGGGGCTGCTGAGCCCAGGGCTCTTTTCTCTCTGTGCTCACACTGCAGGCAGGAGGCACCCAGGGGCAGGACCGTGGTGACAAGGTCACAGTGGCGGGACCATGGGGACAGTGGCAGGACCATGGTGACAGTGGCAGGACCAGGGCAGCTCCCTGGTGACCCCAGTTCCTGGTGCTTTTGCCTCCTGCAGCAATTTCCTTGCCCCAGCCAAGCCCCCCGAGCTGCTGGCATGGGGGTTTGTAGCCTGAGGGGTGTGGGTTGAGCCCTGGCAGCAGTGCCAGTGTCAGCTCCTGTGCCACAGCCTGTCCCCCAGGGCAGAGCTGTCATGTGTCACTTGGCCACTGTCACCTGGGGCCATGGGACACCTTGGTGTGGGTGGTTCCTCTTAGAGGTTTGGGGTCACCTTGTGACTGCATCTGTGAGGGAGAGATGCTGTTGGTGGCATTAGGGGGACAGAAACTTGTGCCCCACAGGGTGTGGAGGGTGAGGAATGGACGTGGGGGCTGTGAGCAGCATGTTCCCATCCCACTGGAGTCGAGCCTGGACCCTCTGGGACACATGGCCAGAAGAGGGGCAGCCTGTGGCCAGGCTGTGAAGGGCTGATCCCCGAGGAATGGACGTGGGGGCTGTGAGCAGCGTGTTCCCATCCCACTGGAGTCGAGTCTAGACCCCTCTGGGACACGTGGCCAGAAGAGGGGCAGCCTGTGGCCAGGCTGTGAAGGGCTGATCCCATCCCACCCCCTGCTGCTCCTTCACACCTCAGGGATGGGCCAGTGGGGACAGTCAGGGTCCCAGGGCACAGGCAGCAGGTGACAAAGCAGGGACTGTCCCTCTCTGCACCCCCAGGCAGCCAGAGGCACTTGGGGTCACCTGCCCCTTCCCCGTGTCCCTCTGCCCCAGGAAGGACCGAGGTGAGTGCTGGGCACTCTGTTGTGGCTGTGCCAGGCTGGGGCTCTCCTGTCCCATCCTGGCAGCTCGTGCTGTGCCCTGAAACAGCCACTCTGCATTGCCTGGGGTGCCAGGAGCTGCTGGCACTGCCTGAGAACCCCTGGGTTCTGCAGAGGGTGACTGACCTGCTGCCTTCCTGGAGTCAGGGGTTCAGTGCCCTGCTCCCCCTGCCCCAGGGTGGCACATCCTGACTGAACCTGAGCCACTGCTGGGGGTGAAGCCAGGGCCAGGGCTGGGTTCAGCCTTTTCAGCTGCTGGGAGCTCCCTTGGGAGGGATGTGGGGCACAGCTGAGGTTGTGGAGACCCTCACTCATTGCTCTGATGACTGTCCCCTCTTTCCCCAGCATCCTGGACATCTTCCCCACGCTGGTGGCCCTGGCTGGGGCAGCACTGCCCCCAGACAGGCGCTTTGATGGCTTGGATGTGTCCCCAGTTCTCTTTGGCTGGTCGGATGTGGGGCACAAGGTAAGGCAGAGCCACCCCCCTGACAGCAGGTAAAACAGGTGAGTGGGTGTCTTGGTTTGAACAGCAGGTGTCTGCTGAGGAAGGCAGGAGCCTCCCTTGAAATGGAAAATGTAAATCCCCTCCCTCTGAATTGTTATAATTTTGAAATTAAGGGGTTCTTAGGCAAAGATATGGGAGTAGGAATAACAGCTCTTTATTAGGGAAGAAAATATAAAAACACAAATGCAATAGTACAAAAATAAAAACAGTGAGAGAGTGAGAACAGGAGCTGACTGGGTGGAGCATCTCTGTTGTAGTTGCAGGGTCCCTCGTGGCAGGGAGGAATAATGAATGTGACTCCACGTTCTCAGAAGGCTAATTTATTATTTTGTGATACTATATTATATTAAAGAATGCTAAAATAAACTATACTAAAGAATACAGCAAGGACACTTACAGGATGCTCTCAGAAGGCTGATTTATTATTTTGTGATACTATATTATATTAAAGAATGCTAAAATAAACTATACTAAAGAAAACAGAAAGGACACTTACACCTGGCTAAGAAGATAATAATGAAAACGGTTGGCTGTCTCCAGAGTCTGACACAGCTTGGCCCTGATTGGCCAAAGAGTGAAAACAACTCACAGCAGAACCCAGTGGAACAATCACCTGTGGGTGAACAATCTCCAACCACATTCCAAAGGAGCACAACACAGGAGAAGCAAATGAGAGAAGAATTGTTTTCCTTTTCTCTGAGGCTTCTCAGCTTCCCAGGAGAAAAATCCTGGGCGAAGGGATTTTTCCAGAGAATGTGAATGCCACACGTCTCCCAGTGGGATGATGGAATTTTATCAGCCACGCAGTGAGATTCAATGGCCCAAAGGGGCTTTGGGTTAATGAAGATTGTTTGGTGCTTCATTCACAAACCTGAGATTCAGTGGCCCAAAAGGGCATTGGGTTAATGAAGATTGTTTGGTGCTTCATTCACAAACCTGAGATCAGAGGTGGAAGTGCCTGTGCCTGCAGCTTGGCACCTTCCTGTGTGTCCTGTGCCTGTCACCCCAGGGACAGCAGCCGGGGGTGCTCAGGCTTGTGGCAGCTGCAGTGCCCAGCACAGCACCTTTCTGACCCCAAAAGGCACATCAGTGTGGGCAAGGGCAGCTCCCAGCGTTCCAACCTGCTTATGCCCATTTATTTATTGCACCAGATCAAGACACAACAGACCCCACCTTTCCCCAGCTCCAGGGTGACAATGTTCCATTGGGACAGCCCACCCCGTATCCCACAGCTCCTTTCACCCCAAAAAACACAGTGTGCAGGAAAGCAGGATGACCACACGTTTGTCTTGGAGTTGCACGAGATTTTTGCAGAACCAACAACAACAACAAAAAAGAAAAAAAGTGGCCTTAATATCAGTCCCGTGGATAAATCCTGATCTTGCTTTTAAAGTACTCCCTCCTGCAAGCACCGCGAGCCAGCTCCCAGCAGGATCCTGGATTTGCTTTCGGTGTCCATCAGGGCTTTGGTATTTGCTTTGTATTTATGGAACCCTCTGCTGAACTGGGAGATGGAGCAGGGAAGGGGATGGGATGTGGCCAGCACGCTCTGCTCTGCTCTGCTCCTCGGGATTAACCCTGCTCTGCACGGGCAGGGCTGGGAGCAGGGCACTGGGGGCTGTTGGGAGCCATGGTTTGCTGGGAATGAGCCTTTACTGGGAGCAATGGTTTACTGGGAGCAATGGTTTACCGGGAATGAGCCTTTCCTGGGAGCAATGGTTTACTGGGAATGAGCCTTTCCTGGGAGCAATGGTTTACTGGGAGCAGTGGTTTACTGGGAGCAATGGTTTACTGGGAATGAGCCTTTCCTGGGAGCAATGGTTTACTGGGAGCAGTGGTTTACTGGGAATGAGGATTTACTGGGAGCGATGGTTTACTGGGAGCAATGGTTTACTGGGAGCAGTGGTTTACTGGGAGCAATGGTTTACTGGGAATGAGCCTTTCCTCGGAGCAATGGTTTATTGGGAGCAATTGTTTACTGGGAATGAGGGTTTACTGGGAGCCATGGTTTACTGGGAATGAGGCTTTCCTGGGAGCAATGGTTTGCTGATAGAGTTGTTTTTTTGGGAATGAGGTTTTCCTGGGAATGATGGTTTGCTGATAGTGGTGGTTTTTTTGGGAATTAAGGTTTGCTGGGAGCAATGGTTTGCTGGGAGCAATGGTTTACTGGGAATGATGGTTTGCTGATAGTGGTGGGTTTTGGGGAATGAGGTTTTCCTGGGAATGATGGTTTGCTGATAGTGGTATTTTTTTGGGAATGATGGTTTGCTGGGAGTAATGGTTTGCTGGGAATGATGGTTTGCTGACAGTGGTGTTTTTTTGGGAATAATGGTTTGTCAATAGTGGTGTTTTTTGGGAATGATGGTTTGCTGGGATCAGTGGTTTGCTGGGTGTCAGGGTGCAGCCATTCCTGTATGGGATTCCCCCCAGGGAGTGGGGTGCCCTCAGAGGGCCCCCACAGCCCCTGGGCTGGTGGTGTCCCCCGTGTCCCCTGTGTCCCCCGTGTCCCCTCCTGGCTCCTGGCCCCTCAGCCCTGCCCGCGAGCGGCCGACAGTGACCCCGTGCAGGGTTTCCCTTGACACAAATCCTCCTGAAAGCAGCTCCTTCACTCACTCCAATGCCCAATTTCCACACTTTCCTAATTGGGGTCGCTGGAGCTCCCAGTGTGGGCTGTCCCAGTGTCCCAGGCTGTGCTGGCACAGCCGGGAACGGGGCTGGGGTGACACCAAGGTCCTGCTGAGAGAGAGGGCTGTTGGCAGGAAAAATAAACCACATCCTCCAAGGAGCACTGAGGTTCCAGGGGCAGTAAATCCCTCTGTCCATCAGCTCAATGTGAATAGCCCAGAGCACCAAGTTCAAGCAATGAATTTTCGGGAGAGAAAAGGCTTTCCCACCCCCCCGCTTCTCTATTTTTTATTTATTAAAATAATAGCCATGGATTAATGGAAGAGTTCCAGATCTGGGGATGTTTCTTGAATCCAAACAAGCTCCTTAATTATGCAGTAAATTATAACAGATTTTCTAAGTGTGGGGTTTTAAGAGGTTTAGGAACGTGGCTGTTTGTAGGAAGGGAGGTTTGAGTGCCCTTGGCAGCATCCCAGCCGTGCTGTTAAAGGTGTAGGCAAAGCTTTAAGGCTGGAGACAGATTAATTGGTTCAGTTCCTGGTCCCTTGGCCTCACAGGGCCTTGAATATTTGCTGATTCCTGCTTTGGAGCTCTTTTATCCTGCCCGAGGAGTGTCAGCAGAAGGGCACTCTGCAGCAGAGCTTCCTCCTTGCACCAGGCTCACACTGCACCACCTCTTCCACTTTATTTCCTCCCAAAAACACAAAGATCCAACCAAATTACAAAAGGTGATGTTTTATCAAATAATTTACCTTACAACTGAGAGCAATAAGCCACCTCTTCCACTTTACACTCTCCTTATTTCCCCCCAAAAACACAAAGATCCAACCAATTACAAAAGGTGATGTTTTATCAAATAATTTACCTTACAGCTGAGAGCAATAAAAGAAAGTGAGAGCATTTAGAAATCACCCCCTACCCTGAATCCTGGCATTACTTGGAAGAGATTCCAACCAGTTCCATGTGAGATAGTGGCTACATCCAGACCAGGCAGCATGGGATGGGCACCTCTGGGTGCCTGGGATCCCTGGAATGCTCTGCCAGGCAGTGTGGATGGACATCTTGGAGTGCCTGGAATGCTCTGCCTGGGAGGCCAGGCAGTGTGGATGGACATCTTGGAATGCCCAGGGTGCCTGGAATGCTCTGCCAGGCAGTGTGGATGGACATTTTGGGGTACCCAGGGTGCCTGGAATGCTCTGACAGGCAGTATGGGATGGATATATTGGGGTGCCTGGAATTCTCTGTGCCAGGCAATGTAGGATGGACACTTCAGGGTGTTCAGGGTGCCTGGAATGCTCTGCCAGGCAGTGTCGGGTGGACATTTTGGGGTGCCCATTGGTGCTCTTTTCTGGACAGCATGGGATGGATATCTTGGGGTGCCTGGAATGCTCTACCAGGCAGAGTGGGATGGACACCTTGGGGTGCCCGGGGTGCCTGGAATGCTCTGTGCCAGGCAGTGTGGGATGGACACCTCGGGGTGCCCAGGGTGCCTGGAATGCTCTGTGCCAGACAGAGTGGGATGGACACCTCGGGGTGCCCGGGGTGCCTGGAATGCTCCCTGAGGGGCAGGGCTCCGTGCCGGGCACCTGCTCAGGCTCTGCTGCACTCATCAGCTGTGAGTGCTGTTACTAAACTTGGCACTGCAGCTGCCTACAACTCCAGCAGATGTTTCTAATTTTTAGCACAGTGGAAATTTCTTGAATCACTTTTAAACTCAAATCCCAGGGAGGAAACCTCAAGTGACTCATCCCCCAGCGAAGGCACTGGCTCCGCGGCAGATGTTATCGGAGAGAGGAGCTGCTGGAGCGTCCAGCTCACTTGTCTCCTCACTCCCCAGTGCCAGAGCAGCCATCCTGTGTGGATCAAATGTCCTAAATACCAAAAGGGAGAGATTTGACCCACCCTTCCCTCCTTGCCTCGCTGCTCACCCCTGGCTGTTGCCAGGGAAGGGAGCCCTCGCACAGCGGGGTGAGTCAGACGGACGGGAGGGATGTGGGAGTGATGTTCCAGCACCTCACCTTCCCCTCTGCTCCATGAGCTCACCCTCAGCTCGTGGCTGGCTGCTGGCTCCAGCCTGGGGCTCGGCTCCCTTGGATGTCCCCACTGCTGGCTGAGCTGTGAGCACCCAGCGAGGTGCTGGGTGACACAGAGCACCTGGGACCAGCCTGGTCCCCAAACGTTCCTCAGGGATTTAGTGATGGAACAAGGGGGAATGGTTTTAGAGTAAAAGATGGGAGATTTAGATTGGATGTTAGGAAGAAATTTTTAAATTTAAGGGTGGGGAGGCCCTGGCACAGGTTATCCCAAGGGCTGCCCCATCCCTGGAAGTGTCCAAGGCCAGGTGGGATGGAGCCTGGAGCAACCCAGGCCAGTGGAAAGTGTCCCTGCTCATGGGAGGGGGTGGCACGGGGTGGGCTTTGAGGTCCCTTCCAACCCAAACCATTCTGTGATTTTATGAGCCCCAGAGCCTTTGTGATCCCTTTCTTGCCATCGAACTGGGAGGTGAATTCAGAGGGTCCTGCAGGGCCAGGAAAAGTCCAAGGGAGATGTTGGTGTTTCCTGAGCCCTTCTGCCATCATCCCCCTGTGGTGGTTTCAGTTTGAAACCAGGCAGAAACACCAATTTCATGAAGTGCTTTCAGTTCACCAATTTGGGATTTCCCAGCCAATGCACCAGTTAATATGGTGGGTTCATTGTTGGCCAAATGTCCACATACCCTCCAGAATTATTTACTCATTTTCTTGCTGTGAGACAGAATTAGGAGGAAGGCAAAGCAGCTTCAGCACTCACAGCTCTGCTGTTTGCTCAGAGTCCAGTGGATGTGCTCAGGGGTGGGATGTGGCTCATCTGGGGAGGGAGTGGGTTCCATGGAGCAGGTTTTCCTGCCATGGGCTGACAGGAACTCTCCTGTCCTTCTGCAGGTTCTGCTGCACCCCAACAGCGGCGCAGCCGGGAAGGTGGGCGAGATCCAGGCGCTGCGGCTGGCTCAGTACAAGGCCTTCTACACCACAGGTACTGCACTTCCAGAGCTTCTAAAGCCTGGGAAAAGGCTTCTGGAATTCTTAGATCCCTGCAGATGCAGGTGAAAACCTACTCAGGTTAATTCAGCCAAGAGCAGACCCAAGGATGTGCTGAGCTGGCTGCAGGGTGGTGCTGCAGCCTGGGGCTGGTCTCAGGAATGCTCCTGGATGGGGTGGGAATGGGCCATCCTGGGTGGGTGAGGAACACAGAGGTGATCCCAGACCTCTGTGACTCCAGGGTTTTCTCCCATTTCCTCCCTAGGAGGGGCCATGGCCTGTGATGGCAGCACGGGGCCGGCACAGCAGCACCACCCACCCCTCATTTTCAACCTGGACCGTGACCTCCAGGAGCAGCAGCCTCTGGATGTGGCCTCCAGGGAGTACCAGGCAGTGCTGCCTGCCATCAGCAGGGCTTATGCCCAAGCTCTGCAGGACATTGCAGCAGACAACGTCTCGGTTGCAGATTATTCCCAGGATCCAGCTGCAATTCCCTGCTGCAACGTGCAGCACGTGGGCTGCCGGTGCCACGGGGCTCACCAAACCACACGGGATCCCCACGTGGAAAAGAGAACACCCTGGCTCTGTCTTTAAGCAAATAATTGCTCAGGCTGCTCCTTTCCCAAGGGTGGTGTCTGTGAATTCCAGGCTGGAGGTGGCCATGGAGAGGGATGGAGGCTGTGGTTCCCTTTGCTCCGTGCTGGGAAGAGGGAGGTGAGCTGGTTTTGGGTCTGGGGGAGCACAGAGGGTCCCCTTTGGACCCTGGGCATGTGGAAGGCTTTTTGTAGGGCTCTTTATCTGGGAAGAGACAGCTTTTTTATTAAAACTACCTTCTGTGAGAGCTGGCTTTGGGAGAGGAATCCTCTGGGAAATTTGCTTGGTTTTCCTCTGAACAGAAACCTTACAGGAGCAGCTGGGGGAGCACAGGGCAGGGGAGCATGGGGCTCACAGCCTCTGGGCAATCTGCCCCTGCAGGTTTGGTGGCTGCAGAGAGAAAATTCCTGGCTGGCAGGAGGGGAGTGCTCTGGGAATGGAGCACCTGCCCCAGCAGCTGCTGAGCTTCACCAGAGGGGTCAGGGCAAGACCCAGCTGTCTGTGCAAGGAAGGAAGGAAGGAAGGAAGGGGGTCCCAGGCTGTCCCCAAGGGCTGCCCTCCATGTGGGAAGGATGCTCAGCTTGTTCTGCCAGGGTGGAGCTCAGGATGTGCTGTGACATCCAAGGGTTTGGGAAAGGCTGTTCCCTGAAGGTTCAGGGAGAGAATTTGGGCTGCTCTCCATCAGCTCTCAGCAAAGAGAAGAGTGTAACTGTGAGGTTTTGGGAGGTCAGGGAGAGGTCCCTGCCCTGGGGCCTCCCAGCAGATCAGGGCTCCAGGCAGAGGAGCTGCTCCTGCTGATCCCAGCACGGGCACAGGAGTGGAGCAGCTCCTGTGGGGCATTTCTGGGCAGGTGCAAAGGCCTGGGGAGCTGCAAAGGCAGAAATGAAGGTGCAGCTGAAACCTGAGAAACCACTGGGATTTCTCAGCAGCTGAATGAGGGTGTTCTGAAACCATTCTGGATTCTGATTTACACACCCAGATCTTTCTTTGGCCGTAAGAGGACTTGTGTGGACTCACCCAGGTGTGCTGCCCCCAAACCCTCTCCTACTCCCCAAACTTAATCCAGACTGACACCTTTAGGGCCCCAAAAAGAACAGCAGGAGCTGCCAGGGACAGACTGTGACTTTATTCTGTCTTTCAACATAGCAAATGGCATCTTCTCTAATATCACTGCAAAAATACTTTGCCTGGGTTAAAATAGTCTGTATATACTGTACAAAGACATAAGTTTAATATCTCTTCCTATAAGTACATTTATACACATAAAACAGCATAAATTAGAAAAGGGACAAATGGGTATATAAAATTCTGGTTACATACAAATCTGATTAAATTAGCATTTACACTGTGGTTCTAACATAGAGTTTGTTAAATAGAGCCTTGTGCATACAGTACATTGACACCCCACCCAGACACAAATTAAAACAGGGGCTAACAGGGCCAGGTGTTCACTTACACACGGGAAAAAGTCTGGCCCACCTTAATTTATATCTTTTTTTTTTCTCATCTCGGGGACTCACAGATCTGTTCTTCGAAACTCCTGGCTTTTCCAGAGCACCTCCCAGCAGCTGTCCTAAGCGTGGGTGTTTTGCTTCTCCTCATGACCTCTTCGCCTTGCCCGGCTGACCTCCACGGCACAAGATTATCTACCAAAATCAAAACACAAGGGCCTTACTTTTCCCAGCACCAGGGAGCGTTTCCAGCGGGTTTTACGCACATGGGAGGAGCAGGGGGAGGGATGTCCCGCAGTGTTTTACTTTCCATCCCAAGGCAGATTGGTGAGAGGTTTATTTATTTGCTCTCCCCCTCCCCAGATTGACAGTCCTGGGAACAGGAACCATCTGGATCAGTGATAAGGGGGTCTGGCCTCGGGCTGGCACTGGGCTCAGCAGAGCCAGGCTTTGGGGAGTGCAGTTCCTGGGGTGAAGTGCATTTGCCTCACCAAGTGCTCCCAAAAAGCTCAGCTCTGGCGTGGCTGGAGGGAAAGGTTTGTGCTGAGCATCCCTGTGTTGCTCTGGGGTTTCTGGATGGATCCCAGAGCTCAACTCCAACATGTTAGACAGGATCAGGGGAGGGAAAGCCCAGCCTGAACACCAGCAAAGCCTCTGAGTGAAAGAGTGAAGCAGGAGCAGAGAAGAACAGGCAGCAGAGGACCCTGATTCACCTGCCATCAGCTACTCCTGCCACAGAGATCCTGGGTGAAATGTGCCCAGGATGAGGCAGCCCTGGCACAGATCTGCCCCAGCTCCAGCCCTGCCAGGCGTGAGCTGGAAGGGATGTGAAGCCCACAGCTCCTGCTGTAGAGTCTCTGCCAGCTCCTCCTCCCAGGATTGTCTCTCCACGAGCTGCAGGACCATCACTGGCCAGGTTTCCAGGCACAAGCATTGACACTGGATGGCACAACTCCCAGGGGCCCTCAGATAATGTACTGATAAGCTGGGCTTAATCCTGCAAGCTCCAGCTGCCCAAAATGCCAGGCTCAGCTACAAGGGCAGGAGCCAGGTTCTGCCAACTCCCTCATCCCCTATGACACATAATTACAATAGAGCCTCAGTGGAAAGTCTGTGGCCTTTCCTCTGCTACCAGCCAGCTGTTAAAAAATAATCACTTAAATTAATTAAGTGTCCATATCCATGCAACAGAATGAGGGAAACACCATCCAGCAAAGAGCCAGGAGGAATCTGGGCCAATGCTGCTTCCACAGAGCCAGAGATGTATCTGCAGCCTGGTTTGCTGTATCAAGATCTGTGGTCTGGAGCACCACAGGGGTGTGTGGACCTCATGATAGGGCACTGATTTTGGCCCTGTTGTAGATCCTCCTGGATTTTTTCCCTCCAACAGGTAGCAGCATCCTTTGGCAGCACAGGACAGTGCCCAAACTGTTTTGGAGGAGCCAAAAACCAATGGGAAAGAGATGGTTTTTAAGAGTGATGGAGTATCAGTGAGGGGAAGCTGCCTTTGAAGAGCTGATTGCAGTCTCACTTGACTTAATGAAATGGCTCTCCTGATAAAACCTTCACCTCTGGGCCCTGCAGCCAAATGCAGGATGGATCACCTATCTGGAAAGCACTGACCAATCTGCTGAAGAAACCATCCCTCCTGCTGAATCCCAGGAGTTCTGGGCAGATCCCCTGCTTGCACTCCCCAGCTGCACACAAGCTGTGCTGCTTGTAGAATCCTGTAGGATTTCTTTTGCCAAACCCCACAGCACCACCCCAAAACTGCATTGCCCTGCCTGGCCCCAAACACACCCCCTGCACCCCTGCAAACCTCACTCCCTGCTACCCCCACAGAACAGGGGTGGCTACTCAGGCAGGTGAGCACAAAACAGCCCAAACTGCCACCATTTTGCAGCCAGAGCTGGCTGTGCTCTCCCCACCCTGTAAAATCTTCTGATCCTGCAGGGTGAGGGCTCTGCAGCCTCATCCCTGCCCATCCAGCACAGCCCCTTGGCTTCAGCCCCCTGTCCTCCTCAGTCACACCTGAGTCCTTCCTGCCCAAGACCAGCAGTGACTTGGGAGTGCTGAATCCACCCCATCCATGCAGGAATTGTCACTGAACTGGTTTAACCTCCTTCGGCAATCCTGGCACCAGCAGCAGCAACATCCACGTTCCCTCTTGTGAGGCCACTTTTTATGAGTCCTCCTTGGGCTCCTCATCTCCTCTCTGATCTGTCCCTCCTTCCACTTAAGGAACAGGCAGTGTTTGACAGATTTTATGTCAGGCTGAAGCTGGTTTTCCTCAGTCTTTAACAGCTGAGCCTCTGAAGTCTTGCTTGAGGTCAAGGGAAGACAAGAGGTTTCAAAATGGGGAGAAACTGTGGGGTTTGAGCACTGCTGTTTCTCCAGAACCATGTCTGAGTTCAAAGCCATACCGTGGGCTGCGGGTGAATATTCCATTTTGTCACAAGTTTTGAGGTTTTGAAAAGTCTTTTTGTTGCACACTGGAAAACAAACAAAACCCTTCCCATGTTTCCGCAAAGCCGAACGCTGTCAAAACATTTTTGTTGGATAAGGTCAGGTTTTCTCCCCCTCCTTCTCTGCACAGGAGTGACCGATGCCTGAAACCCCCTTCACTGAGACTGGAGATCTCAAGTGCTGAGAAAACAGCCAAGTTCAGTGAAATGCAGAGCATCCAAACATCCTGAGTGCTCCCACTGCGAGGGCAAACCCCAAAGCCAGGAGCGGGGGCTTTATCTGGGAGCTCCGTTTGCTCAGGCACCGTTATCAGGGATATTTTTGGAAAGCACCTTCCCTTCCCACACCACCTCCTCCCTAACAATACACATGTCACTGCTCTGTCAGGTTCATGACAGGATTGGGAGGGATCAAAGTTCACTGCACACAGCACCTGCTGTGCTGCAGCAGGGGTTTGGGGCTGCTTTCATCCAGCACAGCCCCAGCAGGACGCCTCACTCAGGAGCAGCGTGATCCCTGCGTGCTGCCATTTGCTTGTCCCCAAACCATGAGTTCAAGAGCAGGTTTAGCAGAAGGAAACAAAGGATTTCTCTCTGTCCCTGCTGCTCCTTCCAGGGGACTGGGCCATCACCTTCTCTGTGGGCACAGCAAGGGAGACATTTTAAATATCCTTCTTGAGTAATGGAGTTGGACAAGTGGGAAATTCCTGCTCCCAGGGAATGTTGCAGGTAAGGAAAGAAATAATCTGAGGGCTGTGTGAGTTGAGCTGGGTTTAGGTGGTGCTGGCTCAAAGGGAGTCATGAGCCAGCCTCCTTTTATCTAAGTAACATTTGCCTCAGCTCAGAGGAAGGTGCCTCACAGAGGTCAGCTCAGCACATGGAACGAATCCTGGGATAAGGTTTGTACTTCCTCCTTTTCAGGCAAAACTCCAACAGCAGGATATGTAAAAATGAAGTAAGGAATTCCAAAAGCCTGCCAAAGCTGCAACCTGAAATCCATTACAGTATTCTGCTGCATTACTGCTATGAAGACACCACTGATTACAACCAGATCATAGCACAGACCAACATTTGTCCAATTAGGGGTTAGATACTTAATTAATGAGTGTGGAATAGGAAAAGGAGCCAGAAAGACACTGCCAGGCTGAAGTTAGATTGAAAAATCCACTAGCTCCTTCCAATGGTAGCTGAGAAAGTGCCACATAAAAATCATAAAATGGTTTAAAACTCTGTTATTCCTTTCATCTTTGTACTTGGAAAAGGAGTTTCCTTCTCAGTTACCTTGGAAATGAAGAGACTGGTGAGGTTCAGGTATGTTCCAGTTGCATTCCATGAACTAACACAACTGACTGAAAATGCAACAGGGTATTAAGTTTTTATTTCTAAATTGTTCCAATTAAAACTATTCCTGGTAATATTAGAAATCTGCACAAGGCACAAAGGTTAGGTCTGGATCTTAACACCATTCAGCAAGTTAGTTCAGATCTATCTCTGCTCAGGTTTGATCACTTTTGTCCCATCCCCAGCTGCTGTTTAGTGGGGCTGTCACTTTCCTGGCACTGTCCCTAGAACCCATCCAGTTATTTTAGGCTTCCCACTGAGCTGGGACAAGGAGGGGGCCATGGAATCTCTTCTGGGAGAGGTTACTACTTCCTTCTCAGCATGAGGGCTGCACTGCAGGTTTAGGGGTCCCGAATGCTCACAGGAGGAAATTCATTCTCATCATCCAGACAGACTGGTCCAGTTGCAAACTCGTGCTCTGGGATAACCTCCCCCCGCAGGGCTCCGCCATCCTCCGAGTAACCTGCCAGGGGAAAACACCAGGGGTTACTGCAGGAAGGGATGGGAGGAGCTGCACACAAGCAGCAGACACTGCAACCACCTCTTTAGCACTGAGCTGCTTCCTCTGGCTGCATGGACTGAGGAAGAGGAAGGTGTCTCCAGGGATACTATGGATTATGGATGAACTACATGGCCAGCTCCCATGGCAGCAGCTTTCCTCCCCCTGCCATGAACCTAAGCACCAATTTCAGAGTAAGATCTGCATTTGTGTGTGGATCTTCCACTTGGGAATATAATGAGACAGTCATCCAGTCTTTTCCTGCAGCAGCTTAGTACAAGGTGTACCAGCTTCAGAGACTCTGTGGCAATCTCACCACAAAAAGAGTGACTGACACAAAAACAGTGAGCCCTGACTCCTATACCCATGGTTACAACTCCTGGAAACCACCTGGCAGCAGCTGCTGTCTGCCAAAGAGTGGTTCCTGCTCTGCCTTGGGCCTGTCTGTGGCACAGGGAGCAGAGCTGGCACAGGGAGCAGAGCAGAAAACTCGTGCCCTGTTTTTGTGGCAGGGGATGAACCTGGTGAGCTCCAAAGTCCTGCTGCCCCAGCGTGCAGTGCACATGTGATGATCCTGGATGAGCCCTTGGAATGTGGGACACTTTCCCCTTTGCCCCAGGTGGTTTTGTGGCTCCTGCCTGAGGAAGGGCAGATGTGCTTACCTGGCATGGTCGAAGTTGAAGGCACTGTACTTTGTCTGGCTACAGTTGCTGCATAAGATTGAGGTACTGGAGACTGAAGGTCGTTTTCTTTGTTCTCCTCCATCTTTCCTGAGCCAAGCAGACTAATTGTACAGATCAAGAGAGAGGAGAAGAGTTAGTTCTGATCCTGGCTGTCCCTCCCCAGCTCCAGCTAAGACAAGCCCATGCATCCACATCTCCTCGAAGCACATCACCCATCCCCATCACTGCATGCAGCAGCCCCAGCAGTGCTGTGGACAGGGGAGCATTGTGCTCCACAAGGAAAGCAGGGGGTGAAGAAGGAGATAGGGGAAGCACCACTTCGGCTGGAGGACAATGCTGGCACGGGAACAGAAGGGAACAGACTGACCACAAAAGCTTTAGGTTACAAAGGCAAACAGTGTTTCTAATCACAGAGGGGGCTCCGAAGGGCTTCCAACAGGAGCAGACTAGATGGGAAAAGCAGTCCTGGCTAGTTTAGGACAGAGTTTGAGCAGAGATATAGTATGATGTAATGTAACTCATGACCTAAGGGCCCTTTTCAGCCCTCTGATGCTCAGAGGAGCCCACATGACAAGGCTGGGGGCTGCGGGCGGCGCGCGCTGGACAGCGCAGCTTTGAAGTGCTTTTGTTTTGTGGCTTTTCCAAAAGCTGCTGGCACTTTCCTGGCTGGCAGCCACCTCCTGGCCTGGAGCACATGTTACATCTCACCCCACCCCAAAGGCTTCACATCTGGAGCCAAGCAGCCCAGATGTGTGCGGGGGGGTTACGCACTTAATGGGATTTGCATATGGCCTGAAGAGCGGCGGGAGGCTCTGTTTCCACAGAGTCCCAGAATGATTTCAGTTGGAAAAGACCTCTGAGATCATCGAGCCCAACCTTTGACTGATCACCACCAGCCTGTCACCCAGGCCAGGGCACTGAGGGCCACATCCAGTCACTCCCTGAACAACTCCAGGAATGGCGACCCCACCACCTCCCAGGGCAGCCCCATCCAATGCTTAACAACCCCTTCCATGAAGAAATTCCTCTGCTTTGGCACTGGGCTTTGTTCTCAGAAGCTCACAGTGTCCCTCCACACCATCCAGTCATCTCCCTCCCCAGCACCCACTCCAAGCTGGAGAAGGTGCTCTGCTCTCCTGCCACCACAATGGTCAGAGCTCTGCTGCTGGAGGCATCTCCTAAAGCACAGCCTGCCCAGTCTAAGCTGGGATGTCCCACAGTGGCCATGGCATCTGAGATGTCTGAGGTTTCTCCTGTAAGAAGCCCTGTGTCCCTGCCTGCTGATGTGCTTCCCAGCCACGTCTGTCAGACCAGGTAGCTCCAATCACAAACTCAGTTCCCTTGCTCCTACAGCTCCATTTTGTGCTGCCAGGTGAGATTTCCCTTAATTTTTTAGAAGATCAGCCTCTGTATGAGGTGTGAGTGGAAGCAGAGTTACCTGTGATTTTTAATTAGCACGCACTCCCCTCCATCCTGTGGGTCCAGGTTATAGATGTAGAGATGTCCATCCGACGTCGTCACCAACAGCCGAGGCAGCTTCTGAATCCTGCTGGGAGAAGCACCCTGAGGCCAAAACCCTCAGCCACCCAGACACAGCAGCACCCACAGCACGTGCTCTGCAGCCAGGGGAGGCGGCGAGGCTGGCCTGGCCCAGGCTCAGCAGCTCAGCACGTACGTGGACAGGGCACAGATGTTCCTCTGCCCGGAGATGTTCAGCCGCACGGTGGCAAAGGCTCGGTCCTGGCTCATCATGCCCGACACCTGGGCAGGGAGGTAGTTGGTGGCAGCCTGGAACATCTTTCCCATGTAACCACTCCAGGTTGGAGGCTCCTCTGGCCGGCTGAGGGGGTCACAAAGCAGTGTCAGTGGGGTTAGCATGATCAGCGTGACAAAATGTCAGGAACAGACCCGATCTCACACGGGTGAAGGGTTTTCTGGAGCACATTTACACTGTGCAGCAGCCTGGCTGGAGAAGACAGGGGACAGTGGCACCTAATAAAGCCAGAGAGACCTGGAGAGGCCGACAGCAGGGGTGCAGTGTGGCTTTTCCAAAGAGTGAGTCCCTCAGGACACAGAGACACTGTGCACCTGGAATTGCTCATGGAGAGTACATGGTGAGGACGTGGAGAGCAGCTGTGTAAACACAGAGACCTTTGAAGCAGACACAGCCTTGGGGCAGGCAGGTTAGGCCAGGCTAACCCCTCACCTGTCTGTGAGATGCTCCAGTTTGAAGATGTGCACAGTCTCCGTGTTGCTGGAAGCACAGAGGAACTGGGAATCCATGCTGAACACCAGGGAGCTGATGTTCACATACCTAGAGCCGAGCAAGGACAGCACTGGTCACTCCCACAGCAATGCATTCAGGGGAACTGCTGGGTTTGGCTCACAGAGGAGGGGATGGGCAGGAAGGAGACCCATCCATGGTGAGGATCACCCTGCACAGCTGCTGCTGAGCCTGTGGGCTCACTGATGAGCAATTCCTAATCCCTTTGCTCAGCAGGGATAGGGGAAGCCTCAAGCTAGTGACAAACAGCCAGAGAGGTGGAAATGTCCTTGCTCACAGAGCTGCCTGTGGAGGGAACATCTGTGCCAGCCTCACTGCAGCTTCTGGTGCTGCAGAGACCAGGGAGGATATCCAAAGTGCTGAACAGTGGGACACAAAGAGCATCTCCTGCAGAGCCTCAGCAAGAATGAGGTCTCTGACAATTTTGGGGACTTCATAATTTCAAATAAGAAAAAAGAAAGGACAGAGTAAGTGGAGTGACTCCGTGTCTGTTCCCTGCCATCGCCCTGTTCTGTGACACACTGAAGGAATCAATGAGCTGGGCACAGCCTGGCACAGTGACATTTCCAGCTGATACGTTTGCTCTTGTTTTCCTTCTGCAAAAGATGCCAAAGCCACCAGGATCTGACGTTGCCCTGTGTCCCTGTGTTTACACTTTGGCTCTGGGAGCCCTCTGTGTACTTGTCAGTGCCAGAAGAATGAACTGACCTTTTCATCCCTCGCCGGAATTCATAGAGTTTTTGCCCCCCAGGAATGGAAAATACACGAATGACTGTGCCCTGCAAAAAATGCAAATGGAAATACCACGTAGGAGCAGGCCAAGGAGCCCGAGCCCAGTCCCTGACACACCCAGGAAACTCAGGATGTGCAAAGGCTCCTCCTGTTTGCCAGCTGGGCTCAATCTAATCCCATACACTGACCAGTCAGCGGCCCTTCTGTGCTGGCTGTGATTAAGACAGGGCAGCTCAGGGGTGCTGATGCAGCCCTGGGCAGAGGGAGGGTACTTGCAGGCACACACACTCACTTTTTCAGAAGCACTGGCCAACTTGGAGCCGGTGGAGTTGAAGACGAGAGCAGCCAGAGGCCCATCGTGGGCAGGAATGGTGCAGGCTGTTTTCTGTAGGGCACAAGGGAACGTGAGAGCAAAGGCACACGCTGGTCCTTGGACTGTGTGGGCAAAGGGACAGGCTGGTCCTTGGACTGTGTGGGCAAAGGCACACGCTGGTCCTTGGACTGTGTGAGGGCAGGGCGTTCCTGCCTTGCAGCCTATCCACACCTGCTGATAGGGATTCACGGGATCATCATGTGCTGATGGTATCCCTTCAACATCCTCAGCAGTTTATCTCTGCCCTGCCTTGAGTTCATTCCCCAGCTATTATGGCCATTGTGATTACAAGACACTCACCCCAGGGGCAGAGAACCTCAACTCCCCGAGGGTTCAGGATTGTGCCTGCACCCTCTCCAAAGCCTGGCCCTTCCCTGTTGGGGTGAGAACTGGCTTCCCTGCAACTCCCTGTGCTGCACAGCAAGTCCTGCTGCAGTGACACCACCCTGGTACCTGCAGGGAGCCCCAGGCCTTGCAGCACCTCTTGGAGCAGCAGCATTTTCCCTGTGCTTGCTCCTCCCCTGCTGCAGATCCTCAGCTCTGGCTGCACGTACGGAGCCACCAGCCTTATGTAACTCAAAGCCCTGGCATAAACAGTGGATAATCATGACCCTGCATCCAGCCAGGGACAGATTTCCTAAGGGGACTTTGGACACTTTGCCCTCTCTGTGACTTAGAGTCAGGCATCCCTTCCAGCCCTCAGTGTGGCAAAGCTGCTCCAGGTCCTGTGCCGTGCCTGGAGCAGCTCCAACCCCCCTGACCCACTCTGGCCACATCAATCCCACGGGATCTGCTGCTGATGCTCCCACGGCAGCCCCAGTGTCAGCCTGGCAGTGGCCCTCGGGCTGCAGGGCAGTGGGTCACGTTTCCCTGAATATCCTGTGCTGGGAGATGCACGTCCTGATCCCAGAGCTGTCTGCTCCGAGCGCGGGGGATACGTCCAGATGTGCCTGCCAGGCAATTCCCTTGCACTCCAGCTCGGTGGAGTGCATTTATTCATCCTTCCCAAGGGCCCCGTTGGCTTTGCCGTGGCTCTGTTTGTTTTCAGCCCCTGCCGGTATCCAAAGGCTGAGCCTCGCACTTACCAAAGTATTTCCGTCGTAAAGCGCGATCTCTCCGCTGCTCGCGCTGCCGGGATAAGCCAAGTAGGAGTTGGCGTGGTTGATGGAGAGAGCACACAGACCTGGCAGGGGGACAAGGACACGGCTGAGGCTGGGAGTGGGGGGGACAGCTCGGGGCACGGCGGGGCTCGGGCTCCGGCTCCTTCTGGGACTGCTGGTGCCGGCGCTGGGAACGCCTCGGCCGTGGGGACATCTGCTGGTACGGGACAGAACGGCGGCTGTGCCCTGCCACCCTCCCCGAGCACGGGGCACCCAGACCCGGCCTTGCAGCACGCTCTGGGCTTCCCCCTGCATCATCTCCCTGGAGAAGGCAGGAGTAGGTGCATCAAACAGCAAATGTGGGTCTGAGGGCTGACAGCACTCCTGTCCAGCCACATCTGGACACGTCCAGATGTGCACAGGGTGCAGGTGCTGGGTTGGAAGCTCAAGGAGCAGCCCAGCATGGGTACAGCTCCATTGCAGCCTGGCTGAAGGCAGTGCCATTTCCTTCTGCTCTGAACGGAAAAGGGAAGCAGAGAAAGACAAAGGAAATGCGCCAGCTGTGCAGGGAGTTTCCGGCCAACACGGAACTTGAACACAGCAAAATTTTAAGCACAGGGGGAATTCTTCCCCATAAGAGCCATCTGGTTTTGTCCCAAAGGTTCCTAAATGCCACTCCTTTCAAAGTGGGCAGGAATTACAGGATGGGACAGGGAGGGATGGATACGTGTGTGGATACATCCATCCACTTGTCCCCCAGGTGACCTCGGAAAAGAGCATCTCTTCCTGCCTCTCGTCCCGCTGCCGGCTGAGGATGCAGCCCGGTGAATCCTGTCACACGCCAAACGTGCCTGGCTCGCTTCCTGCCCCACATCCGTGTGCTCACAGCCCTCCCAAACCCGACCCGAGGCTCCAGCACGACCGGAGCTTCCTGACCCGCGGCGGGGGTCCCTCCTAATCCCACGTGCGGAGGAAGCCGCGGGTCCCCGGAGGGGCCAGCGGGACAGCCACACACCGCACGTAGATGGGACGGGACGTGCCGTGCCGTGCCGTGCACTCTCCGTGTCAGGACACGGCCCTGGCCCCCGCCCAGCAGCCGCGGGGAAGGATCGGCCGGAGCTCTCGTTTTAGGTCATTGTTTATAACCAAACAAAGAGACCGCAGCGGAGCCAGGAGCTGCAGGATCGGCCAGAGGCCGCGGGGATCCGCTCCCCACGCTCCAGAGGCGTGCGCCTCACGCCAGGAATGGCGCACGGGGAGCGCGGCAGCAGCAAGGGCCAGCAATTAAAAGGCAATTAAGGAGGGAGGGATGGGAGGAAGGCAAAGATAGCCCAGAGAGTGCTGCTGCGATGAGCATCCTGCCCCCTCCGGATGGTGATCCCCCGGCCCAGGCGGCACGGCGGGATCAGCACAGCCTTTCAGGATCAGGGAAGGCTGGAGCTGAACAAAGCGAGCTCTGAGCGGCTGAGTCACCCGCTCCCTCTGCTCCTCTGGCTGCAGAGCAGCCGCAAAACCAGGCCAGGGCAAAACACAGATGTGAGTGTACTGGGCTGACCTCGGGGACACACAAAGAACAAGGACCACAGGGCCAGCCTTTGAAGATGCTCCTGTCCCCTCAGCAGCAGCCCCCCAGGCATGGTGAGGGTTGGTGCTGCTCTGGGCTCAGGCAGGCTGGCGCTGCTCAGACGGCACCTCTGGGAGTGCCACGTCACAGGTGGCTTCCTCAAGCAGCATGGAAAAATGCTACTGTGTCCAGGAAGCCTGGCCTTGCCCTCAGGGCAGCAGGTCCAGGCACATCCAGGGCTTGGGGGGAGCCACAAGGTGGTTTCCAAAGCTGCAGTCACTCCCAAGATGTGCCTCCACAGCACACAAGCCACCTCAAGCACTGTGACCTGCTTGGTTCAAATCCTGCCCCTGATGTGAATCACATGAAAAACAATTATCTTGGACACCGTGGGCATTTTCCTCTCCTACGTGGAGGAGGCTGGAGCAGGAGCCAGGTGCTGGCCAGGAACAGCCAGAGATCTCACTGTGACTGGCCAGTGTGGCTGCAGCAAACCCTGGTCCTCGTGTGCTCACAGCCCTCCCAAACCCGAGCCGAGGCTCCAGCACGACCGGAGCTTCCTGACCCGCGGCGGGGGTCCCTCCTAATCCCACGTGCGGAGGAAGCCGCGGGTCCCCGGAGGGGCCAGCGGGACAGCCACACACCGCACGTAGATGGGACGGGACGTGCCGTGCCGTGCCGTGCAAGCCCCGTGTCAGGACACGGCCCTGGCCCCCGCCCAGCAGCCGCGGGGAAGGATCGGCCGGAGCTCTCGTTTTAGGTCATTGTTTATAACCAAACAAAGAGACCGCAGCGGAGCCAGGAGCTGCAGGATCGGCCAGAGGCCGCGGGGATCCGCTCCCCACGCTCCAGAGGCGTGCGCGTCACGCACGGGGAGCGCGGCAGCAGCAAGGGCCAGCAATTAAAAGGCAATTAAGGAGGGAGGGATGGGAGGAAGGCAAAGATAGCCCAGAGAGTGCTGCTGCGATGAGCATCCTGCCCCCTCCGGATGGTGATCCCCCGGCCCAGGCGGCACGGCGGGATCAGCACAGCCTTTCAGGATCAGGGAAGGCTGGAGCTGAACAAAGCGAGCTCTGAGCGGCTGAGTCACCCGCTCCCTCTGCTCCTCTGGCTGCAGAGCAGCCGCAAAACCAGGCCAGGGCAAAACACAGATGTGAGTGTACTGGGCTGACCTCGGGGACACGCAAAGAACAAGGACCACAGGGCCAGCCTTTGAAGATGCTCCTGTCCCCTCAGCAGCAGCCCCCCAGGCATGGTGAGGGTTGGTGCTGCTCTGGGCTCAGGCAGGCTGGCGCTGCTCAGACGGCACCTCTGGGAGTGCCACGTCACAGGTGGCTTCCTCAAGCAGCATGGAAAAATGCTACTGTGTCCAGGAAGCCTGGCCTTGCCCTCAGGGCAGCAGGTCCAGGCACATCCAGGGCTTGGGGGGAGCCACAAGGTGGTTTCCAAAGCTGCAGTCACTCCCAAGATGTGCCTCCACAGCACACAAGCCACCTCAAGCACTGTGACCTGCTTGGTTCAAATCCTGCCCCTGATGTGAATCACATGAAAAACAATTATCTTGGACACCGTGGGCATTTTCCTCTCCTACGTGGAGGAGGCTGGAGCAGGAGCCAGGTGCTGGCCAGGAACAGCCAGAGATCTCACTGTGACTGGCCAGTGTGGCTGCAGCAAACCCTGGTCCTGCCTGCGCTGCTGTCACCGTGCCCAGGGCACACACTTTAGGGGGTGGCACAGTTTTCATGTGCTCCTAAACCCCCAGCACAGACTCCCACTCCTAAACAAGCTGCACAAAGAGCACTGAGGCTGGCCTGCCCTGACCTCCTGGACACACCGTCCTTGGGGTCAAGCTTGGGACCAAAGCAGGTGGCCCAGGAACAACAGGGGCACTGCACTTGTCACTCAGCTCATTTCAGTGACAGCTGCTGCAGCAAAAGGGGTTTAAAACACTAAGCCTGTCATCTGCACCATCCCAGTCCTGCCCTGCTGCTCTTAAAGCATGACCTGATCCTCCAGCCCCTCTGCAGAACAGCTCCAGGCCTGGGTATCCCTGCCCATCCTGCTGCTGGGGCTTCTCAGGAAGGTTTTAAACTTTAATTATACTTGCAGCATTTAGCATGTTTAATCCACACAGAGAGCCCATCTGGTGAGACCTGAAGTAGGTCAGGGGAGCTGCTGGCACAGCATCCCTTGAAAGCCTCGGGGCCAAGCGTGAGCACATCAGCAGCTTCCCAAGCACCCAGCCATGAAAGGATGCTGCAGGACAGCACAGCACCACGGGCACCCGGCCAAGCTTCCCTCTCTGCTGCTATAAATAGCCTCTCCCAGCAGCAGGAAAGCCGGGTTCCCCCTGTGCCACACACACAGGATCTGTGCTGCAGCCACCTGCCCTCAGCCTCGCAGCCTGCATGCAGTTACAGCACGTGGCAGCTCCTGGGAACTCCCTGGCAGGGACTGGGGCTGTGTCTGCCTCTGTGTTCTGTCCCCAGAGATCACTTTGGGAGCTGACCCCAAAAGGAACTCAGACCCTTCTGCCCATCTCTGCTCTCCTCTGATGCATCTGCTCTGGCCAGAGCAGGGGTTTGCTCTGGCCAGGGCAGGGGTTTGCTCAGGACAGAGCTGATCACAGCACCTGACAGAGCCCAAGGAGAGTTTGGCAATGCTCTGGGCAGAGGGTTGGGATGTTGGGATGCTGCTGTGCAGGGCAAGGAGCTGCATTCAGTGATCCTTGTGGGTCCCTTCCAACTCTGCTTATCCATGATTCTCCCCAGCCTGCCTGACTGCCTCCATGCATTTCCGTCTTCCCAGTGCTGGGTGAGGATACAGAGGCCACGTGCTGGTTTAAATTCTAACAGTGCTGTGGCTCTCCAAAGCTCCCTTTCACACAGTTCTGCCATGCTCACCTGTAGTGTTGGGAGGTGTATCCATAATAGTCTTCAGAAGCTTCATGTCCTTGATGTTATGGATGTAAATGGACTCTTCCAGGCACACCACCAGCCTCTGCAAGGACACAGGGGACATGCACAGAACCAGCAGTGCCTCTGGCTGCTGCTCCCACACTTCCCAAACCCAAACCTCTGCTGTCAAACAAACCCAAGAGGAATTTCCCACACGCTGAAATGGAACAGAAACGTGATCTCTTCTGCTTCTCATCCCCTCTCACAGTTGGGTTTGTACAACTCTTGTTTTGAGTTTTTGCATCCAGCATTGCTTTAGAGAGAAGACAAAACACCATGACTTCTCTGCTCCTCTGCATCTTCCACATCCCCAGGAACAGCAACACCCACCATGGTTGCACCCCACCTCAGGCCTTGACTGCCATCTATCCCTACCCCAACTTCTCTCTACAGTTCAAAATGAACTTTTTGATCACCAAGACCTGGCAGCAGAGAGGCTGCAATCCTGCCTGGCAGTGTGCCTCCAGATGGGCATGCAGGCCCTTCCTGATTTGGGAGACAAATGGAGGTGCTGGGTCTGCCACTGCTGCCAAACTTAATGCACCTGCCCAGCACATGAATGTTTGTTTTGCCCTTTAGTGTCAGCAGAGAAGACTCTGCTTTCTGCGCCCTGCAGAACTGCACAAACACAGAGCTGAGACACCTTTGCTCAGGGACAATGATCCTTGCACCATCTTGGCTGAGGGGCTGGGATTTCCCAAGTTCAGGTGCTTGTACCTCTTCTGCTGACCCCACCAGGAACATCCACCCAGCCACAAGGAGCTGCCAAGCCAAGGGGAGGCAGGGCAGAAGGGCAAAGGGAAGCCTGATGCTGGAACCTTAGCCCTGGGCCACCATCCCTGCGGCCACTCAGCTTTGTGTCACCACAGAGACTTTTTGCACAGAGGCTTTTTTTGGGACCAGGCTTTGGGTCTGCCTGAAGGGCTGAGCTTTGTAAGTCCAGCGAGTGCACAGCTTCACCCCCCTTAGTGCCAAGAGACCAGAAGCACTACAAACATCCCAATAAAAGCCTAAGCCCAGATCCTATCCATCCTGAATCCATGTCCAGGAAGCCTCCACCTCTTCAGAAATGAGGCCACTTATTTAGTATCTAAATGTGGAGCTTAGTCACTAACTTGAAACACCCACATTAAAAATCTCTGCCTTGCTCCACCATTACTCTCAGATCAAACTCTTTCCCACTTCTATTCCTGCTAACCACAGCATCTGGGGCTGTGTCAGAGCCATTTTGCATTTCCAGGAAGACTTTGCCTTTTCTACAGTAAGAGCCATGCACTTGCAAGCAGAGGAATATTTATACAGCTGATTTGGGCAAAGCCACCATCTGCTTTCCCAGAACGGGCTGCTCTTGATGTCCAGGTGAAGGGAGGTTTGCAGATGATGCCAAAGCAGCAGCCAGAGATGCTGCCACCCACAGGGACAAAATCCAGGAAAGTTTGGGATGTGAAGAGGCAGAGGAGGTCTGGGCAAGCTCAGCAGGAGCTGGAGAGGGCTGGTTCATCCCTCCTGGCCTCCATGCAGCCCCGTGGCCATGTGAGGTCACTGGCATGGGCTTTATCCTCACTGTGAGCCTCAGAAAAGGTGCTGTGATTGATTACACAGGGTCAAGGCCCAGATGATGGCAAAGCAGCAGCCAGAGATGCTGGCACCCACAGGGACAAAATCCAGGAAAGTTTGGGATGTGAAGAGGCAGAGGAGGTCTGGGCAAGCTCAGCAGGAGCTGGAGAGGGCTGGTTCACCCCTCCTGGCCTCCATGCAGCCCCGTGGCCATGTGAGGTCACTGGCATGGGCTTTATCCTCACTGTGAGCCTCAGAAAAGGTGCTGTGATTGATTACACAGGGTCAAGGCACTGCTAATTGTCCAAAATGTCACTGCTCACCAGCTCATTCTGAGGTTTGAATGGATCAGGTCAGATAACTGAGCTGTGCCTGGGGGCTTAAATGGGTTTGGACACAGCCAGATAAACACCTCAAACCTCTCCAAAGAGCTCAGCAGGGTTTCAGCAGTGAATGAAAACCCAGGAGCTTCCCGGCAGTCCCAGAGCAAAGCCTGATTGCCCACTTTGAGACAAATCAGGATTTGCCTCCACACATTCAGAGTTCTCATGGAGCTTGGGACTGAGAATCCCCACAACAACAACAGAGGGCTTTGCTTGTTTGCACAATGAGGGCTTTTTCACAGAGAGAACAGATTGAAACATGCACCTTTTGTTTGAGACCTGTTCCTGGTTAATTTGTCACCATTTCCCTGAGTGAATGCCTTGTCTGGGATTTGTCCTTCTGTGAACTCCCAGAGGAGTGCAGCTTTCCTACAGAAGCTCAGGCAAGAGTTCAAGTGTCACATGCAGAATGTGATGGCCACCAGTTTAACTCCTGAATGCAGACTGAAATAATGACTTCTCTTCAACCTACCCAAACTGGGAAGGTTCAGATGGGACTTGAGGAAAAAGTTCTTTGTGAAAAGATTATTAAGCACTGAACATATTCAGGGCAGTGGTGGGGTCACCATCCCTGGAGGGCTTTAAAAGATGTGTGGATGTGGCACTTTGGAACAGGGTTTAGTGGTGGCCTTGGCAGTGCTGGGGAATAGTTGGACCTGATGGTTTCATTGGTCTTTTCCAACCTAAATGACTGTGATTCTGTGTTTCTAAACATCTGTAGCATCTTCAAATCCCTCTAGGTGTGTCTGTGGCACAGCCAGAGGATGAGCTCAGCCCAGGATTTGAACCCCAGCAGCCAAGAAATGTGTATTCAAGGCTGGGACTGTGCATCACCTTCAGGCAGCACATGGGGAGTAGCCTGAACTTATTTTATTCACACCAATCTCCTCGAGCTGCTCAGCAGAACCTCCCGGTTTATTTTTACACACACACATCTATCTGCAATTCAAAGGAAGTCTCTCTTTTGCCAGTTTCACTGTAAGCTTAAGTGAAAAAAATCAATTTAGGACAGATTTAATTGTAGTGCAGGAACTCCTGGTCAAAGACAGCTTTACTGGAAGCTCAGCCCAGAGAGCTCACTGCAGGTCTCACTGTTGCTAACTGAGGAGAGGCTGATTATATACAATTACCCAGACTGCTTATTTCTTCATTGTAAAATGTCCTCTGCCTCTTAGGGCATATACTTGGAAAATAATTATGGACAATAGGAAAAGATGACTTAAAATCCTCCAAAAGAGCTCAGGGCTGCATGAAGCTGTGTCACACCAGAAAATAACACTCTAAAACTCTCATTCTAAGTGGCCTGAGTGGGTTTTATACCTTTAAAACCAAAGCAAGGCTGCCAGCACTTGGAAAGCAGTTTTTTGCCTTATCCACAGATAAGTGTGGAAAAGTTACTCCTGGGTTTTTGTAACCAACTTTGAAGGTCTCGTTTGCACCCAAGACAGCAGAGGTGGACCTGAATCAGGATGTGGAATCCAAGAGAGGGAGGAACATGAAAAGGTGTTTTTTTGGCAGAGCTGTGTCCTGAACAGGTAAGAAGGCAGATGACAAAAAGCCTTTGTGTAATAACTGCCACCAAAACAAGGCTGCATTTTCCTGAAGGAAACAGTGGTGGAAGATGATAGCACAGCCCTGAAGCTCCTGCCAGGGGCTGGGAGGAGAGCACAGGCACCCAGCCCTCCAATCCCACTCACAGCCCCCTGCAAAGCTCCCAGAATGCTCCCAGCTGGAAAGCAGAAGCAGCAGAGGCAGAGTGGGCTGCCTGTGGTAACCCCTCTCACCTGCCGGTTCAGCCGGATGGACAGGATTTTACTGGAATAGCTGTAGTTGCAGATCTCTGTCCCCTTCTTGAAGTGGTAGACATTCATTTGCTGCGGCTTGGCATGGCTGACCACAACCACCAGGCTGCTGGAGAACAGACGCTCCACGATGTAAACATCTGGGATTTCATCTGGGCACACAAGGAGAGCAAGGCAGAGCCTTCAGCTGGGCTTGAAGCAACAAGGCTCAGCTCAAGAGGAGATGGGGTTGGGAGGCTCTGTGCTAAGGTGTTCAACATCATTTTTGTGAATAATTTCTTGTGCCTGGCACAAAGCAATGAGGTGGGAGCAGGAAGGGGTAAAAGAACCTTCCCCTGCAGGCAGAAATGAAACACCAGAGAACATATCCACTGGATGAACATAGCCAGTTCTCTTTGACGGTGCTGCTGTGCCTCTCTCCCCTGGGCAGGGCCCAGCTGAAGCTAATCCTCAGGTCCTCCAGCTGCACTAGATCCTTGGGAAGGGGATATAAAGGGAGGAGCACTTTTCCTTTGGTCAGGGGAGTTTCTGGGGGTGTGAGTGGTTTATTGAGGTGAGGCAGGAGCTGGCTGTGGCTTGGTTTCTGCTGTGTGGTGTCTGGTTTCTCTCAGCCTCCCTGAGGAAGCAAACAGTGCCTGCAGGGACTGTGTTTGGGATTACCCCTGCTGTGTGGAGAAGGCACCAGGCAATGGTGCTGCTGGCCCTGCACCTAAATCCCCAGGGACTGCCATTTCCAGCCTGCCCAGCCCTGAGTGAAGCTCACTTTGGGCTGTGCTGCCCTGGAGGAACAAAGGCATGTGGGACAGGCTGAGCCTCAGCCCATCACCCTGAGTGTGTCACCAGCAGGGACCTGCTTCCCTCTGCCTGACTGAGAAAGGAGCCTGGACCCTGCTCCAGATGAGGCAGCTGTGTCTGACTGCTGAGGCTCCTCCTGCAGCCACTGAGAACATATCCACAGATGAGCACACCCAGCTGGCAAGTGTTATCTCCAGTGCAGCTCAGCTGAAGCAGCCTGGAGTCCCTGCTCCATGAGGCCAGCCTTGTTTTGGGCTGCTCAGTGTGTGCTACATGCTGCTGTGAGCACAGCTAAGAGCTGCAGGCCTGCTGGGAGTGACCTTCTCGACATGGAAAACCTGTTAAAAACATCTTGCTTGTAAATACCACACTGGATTAAAAGGCTGGGAGTTGTCCAGCAGCTGTGCTGGAAGCCTGTGGGCTGCTCCTCGTGTACCTGAAACATTCCAGGGGGAAACTGCCTCAGAGTGCTGGGCTGCAGCACACACTGCTGCTGTCAGGAGGGCAGCAGTGCAACAGAACTGGGCTCTAACATAAATGTGAAGGATTTTTACAAATTCAAGGTGCTGGTCAATATTCCTCCCCAGGGAAACAGGAGACTTACTGCTTTCATGGACCTGGTCCAGTTGCTCCACAGAACTTAAGGAGAACAGTCTGTATCCAGTTGTGGTTCCAATTGCCAGGGAGCTGCAAAGACAAAGCAAAAAACCTGCTGGTTCAGAGCTGAAGCCCTCCAGGTGACAGCAAGAGTCCCTGCAGGGGTGGTGTACTGGTTTTGGCTGGGATGGGGATTTTTTGCCATATTAGCTTGTACAGGGCTGGGTTTTGGCTTTGTGCTGAACACAGGGTTGGTAACCTGGAGATGTTTTTGTCACTGTTGAGCTGTGCTTGCACAGTCAAGGCTTTTTCTGCTCCTCACCCCTCCAGTGAGGAGGCTGGGGGGGCACAAGGAGCTGGGAAGGGACACAGCCAGGACAGCTGACCCCAAGTGACCCCAGGGACATCCCAGGCCATCCATGTCAGGCTCAGGGGATAAAGGAGGAGGAAGGGAGTGATGGCCTTTGTCCTCCTTGCTGTGTGTGGTGCTGTCCTGGGCATGGCTGGGCCCCTGCCTGCCATTAAAAGTGGGGAATTAATTCCTTGTTCTGCTTTGTTTGCATGTATGGCTCTTACTTTAATTATTAATCTGTCTTTATCTCAGCCTGTAAGCTTTCTCACTTTCACCCTTTTGGTTCTCTTTACACCTCACTGAGTGAGGAGTTGGCTGGGGTTAAACCCTGCCATTGAGGAAATGAGTAGTTCCTGGCACAGTGAAGGCACAACTTCAGATTCCAACCTAAATAATACAGAGTAACAAACTCAGGAATTCAGTTCTCCATCTGAGGCTGTTGCAGCCCACAGAAGGCAAGCATCCCTCTGAGAGAGCAAACTCGTCCTCTCCTATGGCCCTGGGGCTGCTGAGGAACAAACAGGTCCAGATCTGCCTGGGAGGATGCAGACAGGAGCTGTGGGTCACAGGAGGGGCTGTTTCCTCACCAGGGCTGACCCACCTGTACTGACACAGGCTGGGGAAGCTCTGCCCTCACTGTTAAGGGCAGTGGGCAGTCTTGCCAAGCGCTGTCTCTGCCCAGCTCCAGATGCAGTCAGCAGTGAGCTCCAGGTCTTAAACCAGCAGCCAGCCCATAACAGCACAGCGTTTGCATGGGGACAGCGACCAGCAGGTTCTGCCAGCAGCACATCCACATCCCTCAAAGCACCCTTTGTTCGGGCACACCAAGGCACAGCGGGGCTGCGAAGGAAAGGCCTGTCCAGGTGTGAGGAGGCCGGTATCTCTGATTCTTATCTCGGGCTAGGGCTGCCACATCCGCGTGTGCTCGCTGCCCCGGGCGGCTTGCAGATGATGGCAAAGCAGCACCCACAGGGACAAAATCCAGGAAAGTTTGGGATGTGAAGAGGCAGAGGAGATCTGGACAAGCTCAGCAGGAGCTGGAGAGGGCCGGTTCACCCCTGCTGGCCTCCATGCACCCTGTGGCCATGTGAGGTCACTGGCGTGGGGTTTATCCTCACTGTGAGCCCCAGAGAAGGTGCTGTGGTTGATCACACAGGGTCTAGGCTCTCAGAAGGGTTCTCAGAGCGGAGCAGGTGAAGCGCGGGGCAGCGAGGAGCGCGGCTGCCATTCACGCCGAGCTGGGGCGGTGCTCTGGCTCCGCGGCTCGCCCGGAGCCCGCGGGGGGTGCTGGTGGCCCTGGGCAACGCCGGCACCTCCCGAGCGGCCGCAGCCCGAGCTGCCCGGCCCGTCCCCAGCGCTGCGGGGCTGCGGGGGAGGCAAAGCCCGCCGACCGCTCTCCGTTCCGCCCCGCCGGGCTCGGGGCTGCTCACCGCCAGCTCCATGGGCGGGATGGAGCGGCCCGGCCCCGGCCCGTGTGTGCGCGGTGAAGGGGGGGTCCCGCCGGGCCATCGCCGCCCCGCTCCGGGCCGCGGCGCCGCACCGACCCCGCCC